AGGGACACTTGTGAGAAATTTACAGGACTCCCAACATATATGTGGTCCATAATTCACTGGCAAAACATTGCTACACAATGAATGGTTGTTTTTAGAGATTAATGATTAGTTCAAAAAGTACTTTTAAAAACTAGAGCATAGGTACAAGGCTATTTTTAAAGATTTATCTCTTTTGAAAGGCACAGTGATGGAAAAGAGCAAGAAAATTTTCCACCTGTTGGTTCACTCCCCAAATACTGCATAGCCAGGGCTGGGCCAGGCTGAAGCCAGGAACCTGGAACTCCATGTGGGTTCTCTCACTGGGCCTGTTCTGCTTTCCCAGGCACGTTAGCAGGGAACCAGATGAGAGGCAGTGCAGCCAGGATTCAAACTGTTGCTCACAAAGCTGGCCCCAAGGTTATGCATTTTGACAGGTGTTTACCATATGAATTAGTAGTAAAGCCTACTTTAAAAATGCTAGAAAATATACGGCAAAACTGAGAAATATTAATAGTCTGATACCATTACCCTTAACAGCTTCTTTTCAGGTTACACAGATAGAGGTAATCTGCAGAGATCAGTTAGTAGGCTCCTTGTTAATTAACAGTGGTCTAGAAAGGCAACACTGGAGGTTACAAATAGCATAGTTATTTGCTTTAGTAAGTTATGGTAAGTGAAGGATCAGCGTTTCAACTGGAAAAGTAGAAATCCTATAAACAGGAATAAAGTCTAGTAAGCATGAGTGCAAAATCATTGAGAGAATGAAATTTAAGAATTCCAAGACTGGGGGCCAATGTTGTGGTGCAGTGGGTTACGTCACTAAAACACCAGCATCCCATATCAGAGCGCCAGTTGGATTCCCGGCTCCTCTGCTTCTGATCCAGCTCCCTGCTTATGCACCTGGGAAGGCGGCAGCAGCTGGCCCGAGTGCTTGGGCTCCGGATACCCATGTGGGAGACCCACATGGAATTCCAGGCTCCCGGCTTCAGACTGGCCCAGCCCTGGCTGTAAAAGCCATTTGGGGAAACAGCGGATGAAAGACCTCTGTCTCTGTCTCTTCCTTTCAAATAAATAAATCTTAAAAAAAAAAAAAAAAAATCCAAGACTGAACACTCACACCTATCATAGGTAGGAAATTACCACTAGAGCAAAGCAGGAATGTGAGACAAAAATGGTGTTTTCATTTGGAACACGAGAAGCAAGCATGGACACACAAGGATGCTCAGACCAAAGCATCGAGCCAGAAACAGGGCTTGGCCTTGCAGACGCTGAACCGCAGGGTGTTGGAGCCGAGGCAGCAGGGGTCTATGGAATTTCTCCAAGACTCAATGTCAAATGTAAGGTTACATGGTCAAAGTGTCTTTACAAACTGGCCTAAAATGATTCCTGCAGGATTTATCAAATCGTTTATAACTTACCACATATTCTGAGTCATTAAATGTGGGATATAATGCACATTTTTCTAAATATATTTTTAAATGGTATTCTTATTTTACTGGGTGATTGGAGCCTCTAAGACTGCTGGAGTTTGCCCATCTACACTGCACACCAGCACTCGCATGTTAACACAGTTAGCCTGTCTTTGCTAGGTGGTCTGAAGCTGCTGTCGGCAGATGGGAACTCTTGGCAGATCTCTGTCCAGGAGGGCAGCCTTCAAAACGTTTTCCACACTGACAGCCTTGTTGGAGCGTAAGACCTCCCAGCACTCACACGTAGTTCACTGTCCTCACTAAATGAAGTTTGAGTGTTTAATTGTTCCCATTCCCACTTACTTGTCACGAGAGACCAAACGCTCTGTCATTACCAGGAACTGACAACACTGTTTACTCTGTGGACAGCACCATGTTGGAGAAGACCTCTTATAACCAGAAGGAACCACTACAATGCAGCAACTTACATTTTCATATTGTCTCTTGCAGCTGGTTACATTTGATCATCTTTATACTGGATTTCAGGATTTCAAGAATTAGCATCTAAAACAAAATGAAGCTTTTCTCAAAACTCCCTGAACTGCACAAAGCAGGCAAGCCTTACTGATTACCAGTTATACCACAATTACCTTGACTTCTACATGTTAATATACTTAAGGTATTTACTGTTAAGATTTGTGCAATTTCTGGCCAATTCTAGGGGCCAGGAAAGGTATCACTACAAGCAACTGTGGCTCACAGCAACCAAAGAACACCGAGAGATGATGGGAACCATACTGTTTTCCTACCTAAGACATCAGTGAGTTGGCTGAGGGCCGCTCCCAGAGACAGTAGCTCCAGGACACTTCAGCCTGTTGCACAAGCCAAGGGAAAAGCCTGCGGGCAGACGAGCAGGCGGCTGGCATTAAGACACCAGTGGCATGGACAGGCATATGGGCGAGTCACCATCACAGACTGTAATATACTAACCACACTTTATGTTGTGGTTGATATTATTTTAATAACTTTCCTTTTTCAAAAATGCTTCTCACCTTTTTTTGGAGTTAATTTATACATTGCTTCAAAAGAAAAAAAAACAGCTTTTGGAAGATTTATTTGAAAGGCACAATGACAGAGAGGGAGAGAGATATTCCATCAGCTGATTAACTCCCCAAAGGGCCGCAATGGCTGGGGCTGGGCTAGGCCAAAGCCAGGAGTCTGGAACTGCATCCAGATCGCCCATGTGCGTGGCAGGGGTCCAAGTACTTGGCCATCTTCTGCTGCTTTCTACGTGCATTAGCAGGAGCTGGAGCGGAAGTGGAGCAATTGGGACTTGAACTAGGATGCCAGCACAGCAAGTGGTAGCTTAATCTGTGGCACAACATCAGCTCCCCTCAGTTTTATTAAAGTCAATTTTAGCTATGAATTTGAAAATTCCTTTCACAAAAAATAATGCCCTTCAGCTATTTCAGGAATGAAGAATTTGGTTGAAGATATGAAAACCATTCTTTATATACAGTTCTATGGCTGAAATCACTTTATATCAAAGTTCTAGAACAATATTCAAACTCTTACCTGAAACCTAGATTAACATGATGGATTTCATAGAACGTTTCGGAGTGTATTCTAAGAGTTCTTAAAAACAGATATAACAGGGGCCGGTGTTGTGGCAATGCAGATTAAGGCGCCACTTGCAATGCCAACATCCCAGACTGGGGTCCCAGCTACTCTGCTTCTGACCGAGACCGAGCTCTTTACTAATGCCCCTGGGAAGGTAACAAAGGGAGGCTGAAGTATCTGGGTCCCTGCAAGCCATGTGGGAGACTCGGATGGAGTTCTGGACTCCTGATTTTGGCCTGGACCATCCCCAGCTGTTGCAGCCATCTGAGGAAATGAATCAGCAGATAAAGATCTCTTTCTCTGTCACTCTGCTTTTCAAACAAGAAATAATCTTCAACAGTTACAGGAAGAGTGATTGTCTAATGGGTTTGGAAACATAGTTTAAGACCCCAATGATATGCCTGTGATATGCCACACGTGTTTGTACATTTTATCCCACTGAAGTTGAGAATACGTGCTCTGATCTAATTCTACTTAGTAGACCACTAGGTGTAACGAAGGATTCATCTAGAGCGAGCAGGTAGGGATAAGCGGTGTCCCTGCCCGATGCAATGGACAGAGTGTGGCAGGTGTTTGGCCTAGCGATCACTGCCAGCTGGGTGTACTGGAGTGTCCAGATTTGAGTCCAGCACCACCCTCCCCCAGCTTCCTACTGATACATACCCTGGAAGGTAGCAGGTGGCAGCCAAGGCAGCGAGGCCCCTGTTTCCCATGCAGGAGACCTGGATGGACTTTGGCCTGTGGGCATCTTAGAGTGAACCAGTAGATGGGAGTTCTCTGTGCTTTCTCTCTCTGCTGTGCAAAGTTTAAAAAATTTTGTAAAACAACTGACATAGCAACTAGAGTGTTTGACACTGTTCTAAGTATTACCTGACCAAGAGTGCATATGGGCCTACTTATAGTCTCTCTATATTAGTCATTTTAAATGCCAGTAAAATTCAACAAAGAATATATTTAAAAATTAATTTAATGCTTGGCTAAAGCTTAATTACATATACAATTATCAAACAATAGTCCTTAATTTCCAAAAAGTTCCTTTTTTGAAAATCACAGATTCAGAAAGCATAAACTTTAAAACAAGTTCTCTGAATATTTACAATGTGGTATAAACATTATAGAAGACCATGGATATTAAATTGCCTGGGTGTGGCTAATCAGCAAGGAGTAATCTTTATTGCATATATAACTCACATATGTGGGATTTTTAAATATCATGAGAGACTACTAAAATTCAAATGCATGTATCTGTAAGCTGGGCAGGGAAAAAAATGAATGAGACAGGATGGTCAGCACAAACCATGCAGTTAGGTGGTGGAATCATTATTTTCAAAAATTAAACTTCTATGTTCCATCTGAGACTACGTTGCATATATTATTTAGAGTCCACATTAAACCCACACTTGACTGTGACGCTGATCCGAGGGAGAACGTCTAACAGTCACTCAAGGACTAAGTCCACTAAAACTCCCCATTTTCAGGCAGCACAGCTCTGCTGAGAGCCACGCTAACCAAAGGGTGATCATTTAGTCACCTGGCAGCCCTTCTGTTGCAGTAGTGTAGTCATTTCCCTCAAACAATTTGCTGCGAGGCCATTTCCCTGTGAGGAGGCTTCCTCTGCAGAAAACACTGCCAATCTCCAGTGTGAAAGTAAGCCCACGGCGGCATAGACATGGAAATGCATAATCACACAATCTACACTGCACACATCGCGTACAGAGGACAAGTAACTGAGAGGGTTAATTTGAGTGACCATACAAAATACTTGTGTAAACAAAGTATGACAGGCAGTAAGGAAAACATTCATAGACTCCTGGAAATAAGCTGAATTCCTTTCATTCTGAAGAAATCTCATTTAAGGACACAGTATTGAATATAATGTTTTTTGTATTAAAACAAGAATCAGTATTTTACAGTTTAAGAAACTTTACATATATACAAAATTTATACATTGGGAATGGTATTAAAACAAGCAGGCTTTTCAGTCTCACAGATCTATTTTCCTTCAATTAAAGACTTAAATTCTTTCACATTGTGGTCACTTGCAACAGACATAGCATGATCCAAAGCACGAACACTTGCAAGGAGTTTTATTATCTGTTTTATGTTTTCCCTAAAAGAGAAAAATACATAACAGCATCTTGTTATTAGTACATTAAAGCAAAATTTATCAAGTGACTTTATGACTGTTTATTTACAGACTGCAATTTTTCTGAACATTTTTAAAGAAGGAAAACAGCTAAGAGATATACGATCTAAGGCAAGAAAAAAAAATTATGTTTATCCATATAAAATAAAGCTTGTATATGCTTAAATATGTAGCCCAGAGGCAGGAGATCCATTATTCAGATCAACAATTTTCATTAGTATCTAAAAAGAAGAGAAGGCCATGTTTCCAGACTCCTCCCCAAACCAGAGTCCCAGGTCTTTTGGAGCACATCTGGAACCAGCCGTATCTGTGTATCTTCATCACCAACTCATCAAGACCCAGCCTAACTTCTCCTCCTCCGAAACTCACTAAACAAAGCCTACGCTGGCTTTCCTTATCATCCCAGCTACTAATCGTTCCTACTCTTCTTAGGAAGTGGTTTTAGCACACATAGGGATGACCTAGAAGGCTGTTAAAACAGATTACCCGGTCCTACACCCACAACAGGCCTGGAGTGGGGCCTGAGACCTCGCTTTCCTAGCCAGCTCCTCACTACGCTGATGCTGCTGGCCCAGGAGCCACACCTTAAGAACGACTGAACATGTAATTTGAACCACTCACGAGAAAAGCCATACACTATGCCATTGTTAACTCTTATCTCCTTTACAAAATTGTAGTAAGCATCTTCTAGGAAAGGACTACAATTTGTAAAACTTTGCAACCTACTTTATGGGTACTGCACAGAACAGGCACTTAAATAGTTGCTGAATTACTGTATTATAGAAGAGTTAATGAATACTGCTTGTTGATATTTAACTCCCAATAATTCTGTTGAATATACGTAAATCAATGTTTAAAAAACAGATCTACTTAAAATAATTAGTGCCAAGGATACCAATCAAAACCAAAATGACAAAGAACAAAGTTAAAACAAACCAAAATCACCTGCCAAAGAACTTTTACCACTACATACTTTGCTTCCACTTTTAAAATTTTACTGTGAAAGACAGCAAATTGTCTCACAAGACAACAAGAGAAAGGAAAATGAGGACACGCAAAGTTCTGTCACATGGATACACACAAGCTGTGATGGAACAAAACCAAACTCTGACATCAGGAAGAATATATGAAATAAAAATATTAAAAAGAAAACTTTTTTGACAGGCAGAGTTACATAGTGAGAGAGAAAGACAGAGAAAGGTTTCCTTCCGTTGGTTCACCCCCCAAAATGGCCACCACAGCCGGTGCGCTGTACCAATCCGAGCCAGGAGCAAGGTGCTCCTCCTGGTCTCCCATGCAAGTGCAGGGCCCAAGCACGTGGGCCATCCTCCACTGCACTCCTGGGCCACAGCAGAGAGATGGACTGGAAGAGGAGCAACGGGACAGAATCTGGTGCCCCAACCGGAACTAGAACCCGGGGTGCCGGCGCTGCAGGCAGAGAATTAGCCGTGGCGCCAGCCCTAAAAAGAAAACTTTCAAACTAAGTTGTTATTTACATTTTATGCTCAAAGTTAATCCCAAAATTACTGAACACTCATTACATGAATGTCCACAGAAAGGATAATGGTTCCTCCATTCCTTCCTTATAGCCCTTAACAAAAATTATGCATAATCTGTTCCCCAAAATCAGGAGTCCATGCTATGGATTAAAAAATTAAACAAAACCCAAACTCACACACACAACATGGAGTACGGATGCTGCAAAACTGGGATTTAACTGTGGGGAACTCTAAATGCTCATCTACCCCAGAGTTTCCATCTGCATAATGAATCTTTCAAGGTCAAGGTCACGGTCAAGGTCAAAGTTCCTCACACTCTAAGAGCCAGGGATCCACCCGATTCCTCATGGAGGAAACACGGAAAATAATGTCTTACTCATTCCCCAGGGGCAAGGTCCTTACCAGAATTTTTAATACCTTCATAAATAACATATTGAAACAAGATTAAAAACGGCAAATACAAAAAATATGTGTATTTTGATAATTTACAATACAAAGGAAACATCTAAATATCTACTTAAAACATTTCAATAATACTAAACCTGACTAAAGAAAAGTCCAGATTACTGTTTTACTAAGTAATTACAAAAAACTTACCTTGCATTTCTTTTCTCTACATCAGAGCACCCAATACTGTTTCTGTAAATTGTATCTGCTAAATGTACAAGGTATCGACAAAAGTTTTCTAACTGAGAAATAGTTCTTTCTCCTTTCAGATTCACGAACCATTGTTTGGGGAAACAATTAATTACCTAGGCAGAAAAAAGATATACAATTCAATAGTTAGAATAAAAGAAAGCATTAAAAGCTGAGTTTAGATAATGGGTATAAATGCTTGGCTGGAAGAGTTGATCTGGACTACAGTATTTAATATACCGTGAACGGTTTTTTAAACCTTCCTATTTTAACTCTGCCACCATTCCTAAATTGTTACTTCAACTGATGGGGTCAGGTACTCAAAAGAAAAATAATCCGTCTGGAATTTAAATGAATTACATACATAAAATTGATAGCCAGTTGCTTCAATTCCCAGTATTCCAGGATGCCCTAAATGAATTGAGTTCTCCCGTATCAACAGTTCTCAATGTGGAAACATGTGTAGTATAAATATGAAGAAGTTGTAGTCTCTCCCCTACCCCCAACACATCAGTCAGTAGACATTCATGCTGGGAGTGGGGACCCACGCTGGCTTAGAGTGAGATTAAGAGAGCATCCATAACACAGGGTAGCCCAGGGCGAGTCTCAGCAGCCTGGCACGGAGCGCCAAAGCTTAAGCAGGCGAGGCTGAAAGAGGGCAGTCTAGTCGGGGAAATCACTCCAAGTGGGTAGAAAAGACCCACCACCAAAGGACCCAGTGATGGTCCTGAGAGACGACCAATTCCAGGGGTGGGGCAGTCCAAACACAAGATGAGCTGAAACATTTCATGCCACAAAGCAAAAGGACCTCCCTCAAATTGAAGGGACATGGCAATTTTAATTTTAAGGGACTTCCGCTCAGGAAATCTGGGATAAATACCGCCAAAGATCCAGAATCTGAATCTAATCATGAGAGAGTTGTCAGACAAAACGCAAGTGGAGGGACATTACAAAGCAACCGGCCTATCATCTTCCAAAGTGTCAAGCTCTGAAGGTCAGCCAAGACTGAGGAACCCTTCTGTTTAAGGAAATGAGAGAGAGGACCTAGCTATTAGGGTATTACTGAAACAACTTACATGACATGCACAGCGAGGGTCTATCTCCTGATGCTACTGAATGGTTATATTGCAATCAGACTAATCCTTATGTTTACAGGAAATATACACAATCTATTTGAGCGAGGTGGGGCATTATGTTAGCGACTTACTTTGATGTAGTTCAGGGGAAAAAAACTCTACCGTTAACTTGCAAATTCTCATTAGTTTTATGACTGTTTACAAAATATTTTTAAAGATCAAATTACATAATGAATCACAGCAATGGAAAAGATATTAAAATTATTTCTTAAATCAGAGAAAAATGCATTTATTCAGTAACACTGAAAATGACATTAATTCAACCATTAAGAAGTTACTACCCAGAAATTAAAACTTTTACTAATACTTAAAAAAACTGACAAATAGATGTGTTTATACATAGAAAACAACTTAGGCCGGCGCCGCGGCTCACTAGGCTAATCCTCCGCCTAGCGGCGCCGGCACACCGGATTCTAGTCCCGGTCGGGGCGCCGGATTCTGTCCCGGTTGCCCCTCTTCCAGGCCAGCCCTCTGCTGTGGCCCGGGAGTGCAGTGGAGGATGGCCCAGGTGCTTGGGCCCTGCACCCCATGGGAGACCAGGAAAAGCACCTGGCTCCTGGCTCCTGCCATCGGATCAGCGCGGTGCGCCGGCCCGCAGCGGCCATTGGAGGGTGAACCAACGGCAAAGGAAGACCTTCTCTCTGTCTCTCTCTCTCACTGTCCACTCTGCCTTGTCAAAAAAAAAAAAAAACAAAAAAAAAAAGAAAGAAAACACTTATATTTTTACATAAAAAACGCTATGAATTTGATTATTGTTTATAGCCCTTGCTTATACTCCTGAGGAACAGTGGTTTTTTTTCCACTTACTACTTGTTGAATTCTTCATTTAGCGGACGGTTAAGTTTGTGATTATAAAGTAAATTAAAAGTATGTCATTGAAAAAATTAAAAAAAAAAATAAGGAAGGAGGAGCTTGGGTGGCAGTGAGGTAGGGTAGGGCAGGATGTATCATTATGTTCTTAAAACTGTATATATGAAATACATGAAATCTGTTCCCTTTATGCAAATTTTAAGAATAATTTGAAAAGAAATATAATGCAAATGTTACATATAATTTAAGATTTTCTATTAGCTACATTAAAAGAAAAAAATTAAAAAAGTGCCATGGAGGTTTGGAAATTCCAGGGAGGCAAACATTAATCATCAATGTCATCCCATGTCCAATAATCAAAGTGATTTTTCATAAAATTCTCAAATCCCTTTTTAAACAAAACTTAATTCACTTTATGTGCTTTAGAAACCATACTATATATATATATTATTAAACTCACATTTTGGGCTTTTTTGATGCTGTCATCTCCATATTCTGAATTCTGAAAAGCCATGAGAATATATCTATTTAACAGACCATCAATTGATAGCTCCTGAAGAGTTTTATTGGAGAAAATGCCATACCACTGAAGGAAATTTCCTAATAACTAGAAAGAAGAAAAAATATATTGAGAAGCAATGTTAAGTATAAATTAGTGACATAGTAAATAACGTATGAAACTGCCAATTTCAAATTGCCAGAGTGCTACTCCCCACTTTTGAAGGGTCGGCACACTCCCCAGGAGGACTGCCACACGCAGCTGGTGCCCGTCGCATCTATCAGCACAAATGCCGGTTTCCCAGGACCACAGGAAGTACTATTGAGCCACAGTGATTCTTCCATCAGTGTCTTCCATTCAGAATTATGCCTCAGCAACTCCTATGCTGCCCTAGAAAGATGGGGGATTCTTCTCCCTGACTTACAACACTCATGGCTAACAGATCTCAGAAACCTGGACAGAGCTCTATCCTTGGACATCTCAAGCCACTTCAATTCAATACACGCCAAGTGAAAGCCATTCCTGCAGCGTGGAAGCCCCACCCCAACCCACCAGAAAACTTCCTAGCGTCCAGTGACTTCTCAACACTGCCCGTCGGCTGCTCAGGCCACGTGCTGGCTGTCACTCTTGCCCTGTCCCTCAGGTTCTGGGACTCTGCCACTTCCTCATGTGCTCACGGCTCGAGTGCTACTGCCACCCTCCTGATCTAAGCTGCCATCGTCTCTTTCAGAACCTGCATTTATTCCAGTGATTACGAATGTGAGTATGAAGCAGCCTTTCTCAAGCAGGGATCCTCAGCAAATAAACTCAACTCAATTTTCTCCAGGGCAATAACACACAGCTAGTTCTAGATGCATGGGAAACAAGAGGATTCATCATATATAATGAAGGTTAGGGCACTAGGTATCCTCTCACAGCATCCCAGCAGAGGAGCGCTGCCCCAGAGGCACTGTTCTGAGCTAGGAATGACCCTGGGCGGGCTGCTCTGTGCCTTACCGTCCCATCAGGAGAGAAGTCCAGTGTCTGCCTTACAGACTCACTCTGAGGCCTCACTGAAATAATCTATATAAAGAGTGGTACTGCTTGGCACAGGGTCAATACACAATAAACATCAGTTCCCATTTTCGTCACTACTATTTCTTCAATCTGTTATCTTAACACAGCAAAGTAATAAAAAAAATCTTGAAAGGCAAAGTGACAGAGGCAGAAGTACAGACAAAAAGAGAGACGTGTCTGCTGATTCACTCTCCAAATGCCAGCAACAGCTGGGCCAGACAGAAGCTAGGAGCCAGAAATGCCATCGGAGTGTGCTATATGAGCAGCAGGAACCCAAGTATTTGGGCCGTCACATGCTGCCTCGCAGGTGAATTAGCAGGAAGCTGGGTCAGAAGTGCACAGTACCCACGACTTGAACCAGGCCCTCCAATACGCAACGCAGGCATCCTAAGTGGTATCTTAGCTCACTGTGCCATAACACTAGCTCCAGAGAGAGTTATCTGAAAAGTGGCAATTTGTTCACATAACTCCCTGCTAAAAGCCTTTCCATGTCCCACACATATATGGTCAACTGAATCACAAAAAAGGTACCAAAGCAATTCAATGGGAGAAAGGGTAGTCTTTCCAACAAACAGGAACAAAGGAATCTTAATCCAAGCCTCAAACTCTATAATAAAAATTAACCTGAAGTGGATTATACATTTAAATGTAAACCTAAAACCATGAAACTTCTAGAAGAAAGGATAAGATGGGCTGGCGTTGCCGGTGCACAGGTTAAGCCTCCTCCTGCAACACCAGCACCCATGAGTATTGGTTCAAGTTCCAGCTGCTCCTGTTCTGATCCAGCTCCCTGCTAATGTGCCTGGGAAAGCAGCAGAAGATGGCTCAAGTACTTGTACCCCTGCCATCACGTGGGAGACCCAGACTGAAGCTCCTGGCTCCTGGTTTCACGTGGGCACTCCCTGGCCATTGCAGCAACTTGGGGAATAATTCAGCAGATGGAAAATCTCTCTTCCTCTGTCTGTCCATAACGCTGACTCTCAAATGAATAAATAAATCTTTTTTTTTTAATTTTTTTTTTTTTTTTGACAGGCAGAGTGGACAGTGAGAGAGAGAGACAGAGAGAAAGGTCTTCCTTTGCCGTTGGTTCACTCTTCAATGGCCACTGCGGCTGGCACACCACGCTGATCCAAAGCCAGGAGCCAGGTGCTTCTCCTGGTCTCCAATGGGGTGCAGGGCCCGAGTACTCGGGCCATCCTCCACTGCACTCCCGGGCCACAGCAGAGAGATGGACTGGAAGAGGAGCAACCGGGACAGAATCCGGCACCCCAACCTGGACTAGAACCCGGTGTGCTGGCGCCGGAGGCGGAGGATTAGCCTATTGAGCCGTGGTGCTGGCCAAATAAATAAATCTTTAAAAAAAAAAAAAAAAAGAGGACAGGATAAAAATTTTGTGGCCTTCTCTTAGACAAAAATTTCTTAGAAATCTAAAGCACAATCCCCAACAGGAGAAAGGAATAAATAAGACTTCATCAAAATTTAACTTCTACACACATCAGAATGAAAGCACATGTCATAGACTGGAAAAAAAAATCTTTGATAAAGGACTTCTGCGTAGGACATGGCACTCAAAGATCAATTTAAAACATGAGTGAAGATGTGAACATACAGATAGCAAAACAAGTTCACGAAAGCATAAAGAATGCTCAACACAGCCATTAGAGAGGTGCAAATGAAAACCACAATGAGATACCATGATACACCTAGTGGGATGACGACAACACAGGTGTGGTCAGAGTCAAGAATTAGATCACTGATGTACTGCTGTAAAGAATGCAAAACAGTAATAATCACTGGAAAACAGGGTTTTTTCCCTCTACATTTTTATTTATTTGCAAGGCACCTAGCACACACACAAGTGCTCCCCTGACTAGTTCACTCCTCAAATCCCCATAATGGCCTGGGCTAAGCCAGAAGCCCTAGGAACTCAATATAGGTGTCACATGCAGGAAGCAGGAACGCAATTATTTGAGCCATCACCATGGTCTCAGGTGACTACAGGAGGCTGGAATGAGGAGCGGGAGCCGGGCACTGAACCCAGGCCCTGGTGTCTCAATCAGCATCTTAACCACTAGGCTAAGTCCACACCCTGGGAAACAGCTTTTTGTTTTATCCATGTGAAAATGAAAACCTATCGTGTACTCAAAAAACCCTTACCATAGCTTTATTAATAATTACTCCAAAGTGGAAAAAAATCCAACTGTCCCTCAATTAGATAATGGATGAAAACAACAAAAATCAACCCTGTGTATCTACCTCATGATGGAATATTGCTCAGCAGTAAAAAGGGATGAACTACAGATACCACTACACACACGGATCTCAAATGCATAAGAGAAAGAAGTCAGACTCGAAAGGCTCCCTGCTACATAATTCCCTGCAGCAGATATGCTTGCAAAGACTGTCACCCAGCAGATCAGGAGGGAGGAGGGCAGGGGTCAGGATGGGCTGGACTATAAAGGGACAAGGGGACTTCTGAGGGATGATGAAGTGTTCCACATCTTTGATGACATGACCATATTCATTCATCAGAACTCACAAAACTACACTCAACAGCACGAGTGTATGTCAACAGAAAAAACAACTCTTCCATGGCTTCCCGTAACTTTCAGGATAAAGAGCAAAGCCTTTCACAAGGTCCTTATCACCCCGAGCCTTTCCCTCCTCCGGAGCTCTAGCCGTCCTGTGCTTCCACGTCCTCTAGTCCGTTCTGCAGATGAGAGGCATGCCAACAGCTTCTGGTCTAATAACCTAATCTCACTTCCTCAGGTTGGAACGACATCTTGTACAACTGGCTAGTCACAGTTCGCGCGCCCCTTGGCAGATGCTCCCATACCACCTGCAGTTTTCCTTTTCCTAAACCACACACCTCTGGTTTGCTGTCTGCACACCTCTGGTTTGCTGTCTGCATCCGTGCTGGATTATAAAGTTCAGGAAGGCTCCACGTCTGCCTTATTCAGTACTATTATCACCAAAACTGAGAAGAGCACAGACTCTATTTGCTGAATAAACTGTGGCTTAGTTAGCCATTTTGTTGTGCAGTTTGGACCTTACTTTGAAACCCGGAATTAATTTTCTCCTGTGGGAACTGGGTAATTTTTTGGAATACAATTAGTTTGCAAAGCACAGACATTGTGTTTACAAATAGATCTAAGCCTATAGAGATAACGAAACACTAAAATATGGGGCTGCCATTGTGGTGCAGCAGGTTAAGCTGTTGTCTGAGATGGGGCATCCCCATTAGAGTGTCAGCTTAAATCCTAGCTGCTCTGTTTCCAATTCAGCTTCCCACTAATATGCTTGGGAAGGTAGCAGATGATGGCCCAAGTTCTAGGGACCCTGTCACCCATGCGCGGGCCTGGACAGAGTTCCTGGCTTCTGGCTTCAGCCTGATAGCCCCAGTTGTTGTGGCTATTTGGGGAGTGAATCAGCAGAGAGAAGATCTTCCCTTCTCTGGGTCTCTCCCTCTCTCTGACACTCTACCTTTGAAACAAACAAACAAATAACCCTTAAATTAAAAAACACTAAGGGGGCCAGCACTGCGGCGTAGCAGGTAAAGCCGCTGCCTGCAGTGCTGGCATCACATATGGGCGCTGGTTCAAGTCCCAGTTCCTCTACTTCCGATCCAGCTCTCTGCTGTGGCCTGGGAAAGCAGTAGAAGATGGCCCAGGTCCTTGGGCCTTTGCACCCATGTGGGAGACCCAGAAGAAGCTCTTGGCTTCAGATCAACGCAGCTCCAGCCACTGCGGCCAATTGGGGAGTGAACCAGAGGATGGAAGACCTCTCTCTGTGTAACTCTGACTTTCAAGTAAATAAATAAATCTTAAAAAAAAAAAACAAAAAACAAAAAAAAACACTAAAATACTTTTCAAAAACATATGCAAACTTAGACAACACTTGAAGTTTTTAAATAATCCTAAAAACACTTACCTTAACTGAAGACCAAAACTGTCGTTGAAAAAACAAATAAGGCCCCGAATTTTTGTTTTCTAAGACACTAAGTAAAAAAAAGAAATAGACCATGGTCAAATATTTTATGTGTAGGTGCCATATGATTACTAGATTTCTATAAGCAAAATAGGTAAATAAGAGAATTAAGTATTTCCCAAATTTTCTAACAATTACATTCAGGAAGATAATATGTAGAAAAAGCAAAGGGAATCGACTCTGAGATACTGAGGGAGGACAGGGGCACTAAATGCTGTATTCTGCTTCAGGAAACGACCCCCCTGGTACAAGCAGAGTTCCTATTTGGATCTACCTTTAGTTCTCCAGAATTTTAGAAGCCTTCTTTGAATGATAATGAAGAATACTATTTTCAATGTTCATCATAGTTACTTACTTTTTGGGATACAAAGGCATGAACACATCATCATCTAAAGTTCTTCTCATTCTCAATAAAAGTGCCTTTAGGAAAACCTAGAGTTAAAAGTGGAGGATGATAAAAAAACTGGGTACTGATTTCGAATGACCCATTTTCTCAGTTTTTTTTTTTTTTAATTTCCTCACAGAAGGCTCTGAAGTCATCAATACTTACTACTCAGTTCATTCCTCAGAAAGTGGCATGCATAAGCCATTAGGAATCTTTCAGTCCCTCAAAAATTCAAGATCAGAAACATCTGCTTCTTCTCAAAATGAGGTTGCTGAAAATTCAACAACGATAAACCCTTCCATGTTTCAACAGCTCGAGTGAATATCTACTGAGCAACTTTAAATTTGGAAGTTACAAAACAACATGTAGTTGTTTTACACACTGTTTAAATGTTTTAACATTTAGATCATCAGTTGTTAACCATTTTAGTAGTATTACAATTTTTTTTTCCCCAGAAATTGTTCTTAAAGGGACATTTGATGAGTCAAATTGGGAGTGTGGTAGTCAAAAAAAAAAAAAGTACAAATGAGAGGCTATCTCGACTAATAACATCTTACTTCCATATAGGTTTTTTTTTAATACTGAAAATTAGTAACCCCAATTCTGTATTTTTCAGGCTCTAAAAGGCCTCCACAGCTCAAATGAAATTTCTGGTTGGTTTAGAATAGCCACTCCTTCTCTCAAGTCTTTGGCATTTTCAGAAGGGGGTGCGAGGGTAGCTTCCTGAGGACAATAATTGCATTACCTGTGTATTTTTATTTTCTGCATTTACTACTGAAGGATATCCATTTATTAATTTTAGCGTAATTCCAACCATTCTTGAAGTCTGTGTTGTAGAAAAAGGATCCCACATATTTTCAGCTATCACTGTTAAGAAAAAAAAGTGTTGACACACAGAATAAACTGCAGCTTCCTGAAATCCGAGGTCAAGCATCTTCTAATCATAAACACCAACTCTGACTTATTTTTCCCTTCTCTAATATAAGCTGTCTTCTCTGTCCTATTAATTGTGGAAATTTGGGGGCAAAGACATGCAGAGAGGGAATAAAACCCTCTTACTTCTGCTACTCATCAAAAATTAAGGTTGAGGTAAAGCCACCACCTGCAGTGCCAGCATCCCATATGGGCACTGGTTCATGTCCTGGCTGTTGCACTTCCAACCCAGCTCTCTGTTATGGCCCGGGAAAGCAGTAGAAGATGGTCTAAGTGCTTAGATCCATGCATCCACATGGGAGACCCAGAAGGAGCTCCTGGCTTCTGGTTTCAGATGGCCCAGTTCTAGCTGTTGTAACCATCTGGGGAGTGACCAGAGGATGGAAGACCCCTCTCTCTATCTCTGCCTCTCTGTAACTCTGTTTTTCAAATAAATAAATAAATGTTAAAAAATAAAATCAAAGTTAAGAGAGAAAGATGTCTAATATCTAAGATGTTGGCCGGCGCCGTGGCTCAATAGGCTAATCCTCCACCTTGCGGCGCCGGCACACCGGGTTCTAGTCCCGGTTGGGGCGCCGGATTCTGTCCCGGTTGCCCCTCTTCCAGGCCAGCTCTCTGCTATGGCCAGGGAGTGCAGTGGAGGATGGCCCAGGTGCTTGGGCCCTGCACCCCATGGGAGACCAGGAAAAGCACCTGGCTCCTGGCTCCTGCCAGGATCAGCGCGGTGCGCCGGCTGCAGCGGCGGCCATTGGAGGGTGAACCAGCGGCAAAGGAAGACCTTTCTCTCTCTGTCTCTCTCTCTCACTGTCCACTCTGCCTATCAAAAAAAAAAAAAAAAATATATATATATATATATCTAAGATGTTAGCTCAGCATAAAAAATTTCTAAACTCAAAATTGATTTATTTTTAAAAAAGATTTATTTATTGGGGCCAGTGCTCTGATGTAGTAGGATAAGCCTCCATCTGCGGCTGGTTCATGTCCTGACTACTTTCTTCCTGTCCAGCTCTCTGCTGTGGCCTGGGAAAGCACTGGAAGATGGTCCAAGTCCTTGGGCCCCTGTATCCATGTTGGGGAACCGGAAGAAGCTCCTGGCTCTGGATTGGCCCAGCTCTGGCCATTGCAGCCATTTGGGGAGTAGACCAATGGATGGAAGACCTTTCTCTCTGTCTCTTCCTCTCTCTATAATTCTACCTCTCAAAAAAATTAAATCCTAAAAAAAATTTTTAGTTATTTATAAATCAGAATTACAGAGAGGGGGGAGAGGTGGGTGGGAGAGAGAGAAAGAGAGAGATCTTCCATCCACTAGTTCACTCCCCAAATGGCTGCTAATGGCCACGGCTGGGCCAGGCTGGAGCCAGGAGCCAGAAGCCTCCTCCAGGTCTCCCATGTGGATGCATTAGTAGGGAGCTAGACAGGAAATGGAGCAGCTGGGATTCAAACCGGCACCCATATGAGATGCTGGTGCTATAGACAGTGGCTTAACCCACTGAGCCACAGGGCCAGTTTCCAAAATTTACTTTTAGTATTTAAAATAGGTTCCCATACTAATACTTCCTAATTTGCTTGTGATAAAATGATGAAATTATTGAAATTATTCCCCCAGATAAATGGATTTCTCCCCCAAACTAAGTACTCAGTGTTACTTCAGGTAGTCTTTGAGGCACTAACACACACCAAGCAATCCATTACTACCTTCAGCCCCCGGACCACCCCAGGTAATGGTCAAGTCCCAGGTTCAGAACTACCCTTCTCTTTGGCCATCTCTGGGCCAGGTACTATCATTTGTCATGCAATTTCTAGGGAAGTATGCTCTGGACTAAAAACTTTCAAACAGATTTCAGAGACCGAACGTGTCTGACTGTTCAGCTAGGGAACGGGCTCCTCACCTGTTAGTTTAGGAAGTATCACCTTCTCCACAATGGTAGGCAGCAGTGCAACATCCACGTCATCTTTTTCTTGCTCACGTTCTTCACAACCATAAAACAACAAAGATTCGAACCACAGCATATTCTCAAAGTCACGGCATTTTGCCTGAAATATATTCAATAAGTTACACATTTTAAAATAGCAGGTATTTTCACTTCTAGCCTGTAAAAGTAACAAGAACTAGATTTAGTCTCCAGTTATAAACAACCAAACATACTGGGCAAAATACACGAAATGATCCATGTTCAGGTGATGGAGCACGGGAGACACCGGTCCATCACCCACGAGAGGGCCTCAAATGAGGGGAGCTGCTGCTTCCCAACAGCAGGGCAGAGCCGTCTCACCGGGTTAAGGAGACAGAAGTCCGGGACGCTGAGCTGTAGTGCAGCAGAGGAAGTTCCCCAGAAAGCACTTCCACGGACACCTTGAGCCTCTGCTGCCCACCAAGACACAGCAGCACAAGGTGAACTCCACAGGTGTGGCCACGGGCACTCAGGAGCTGTGAGCTGAGTGGTTCCCAGAGCTCTGATTTTTTCTCGGCCTTTTCCAGGGCTTCATCCTCAGCCTTCTTTTCCTTACAGTTTACATATCTGACCTAGCCAATCTCAATCACGTGTAGAGTTCCACCCACTGTTGATAACTTCCAAAACCACACAGTAAACATCACCACTTGGACTTAAACAGGCAATTCGTCTCCTCCTATGCATACCAGGCCTACAGGTCCTAGCGTTCCCATCTCCTCAACTTCCCACTTGTCGCACCCTCTTGTTTTCTTTTATCACTTAGTTCAGTCCTCATCACACCTGCCTCACTGTGCTTTCTCATTAGGTTCTACTTTATAAAAAATTATTTCTTATTTATTTGAAAGGCAGAGACACAGAAACAGACAGTGAGTGAGCGAGTAAAATAGAAAAACAGAGATATTCTACCCACAGGTTCATTCCTTAAACACCTGCAATAGCTGAGGTTAGGCCAGGCTGAAGCCAAAATCCTAGAACTCATTCTGTGTCTCCCACATAGGTGGCAGGGACCCAATTAACTGACCTATGACCTGCTGCCTCCCAGGGTGTGTGCATTAGCAGGAAGCTGCAATCAAGAACAAAGGCAGGACTCATACCCAGGGCAACTCCAAGACGGAATGAGGGTTGACCAAGCAGCAGCAAAGGGGCCTGTGCTACAACACAGTGGGCTAACCCTCTGCCTGCGGTGCCAGCATCCCATTTGGGTGCCGGTTCTATTCCTGGCTGCTCCACTTCCGATCCAGCTCTCTGTTATGGCCTGGGAAAGCAGAAGAAGACGGCCCAAGTGCTTTGGCCCCAGCATCCATGTGGGAGACCCTGAAGAAGCTCCTGGCTTCGGATCGGCCTGGCTCCAACCACTGCGGCCATTTGGGGAGTGAAGCAGTGGATGGAAGCCCTTTCTGTCTCTACCTCTTTGTCTGTAGCTCCACCTCTTTAATAAATGAATAAATAAAACTTAAAAAAAAGAGTTGTCAAATTAAAAAAAAAATAAAAAAGCAGCATCACAACTGCTGTGCCAAATGCCCACCCCTCCCACTAGGTTCTAAGTTCCTTTAGGATCAAAGGATCAAATTCTTACTCTTGATGTTCCTATTCCAATATTACCATGTATCATCTTAGCTGATGAGAAAGGAATTATATATAATCTGAAAACACAGGCAGTTCTTTTAGGAAGGGATTAATTTAAAAGGACTGAATCTAAGATTATATCCATGCCCTATCTCTCCTGAAAAACGTTTGCTTAAGCTTATATCTCCAGCTTTGAGAATAAAATCACCCAGACTTCAGGCTCTACTGCTTTCTACCAGTGAACAGAAGGCACCCACCTCGAGAGGGGTCCAAGTAAGGAGCTGCAGTCTTATGAGGGGGTTGAACAACTTGGGCAAACAGAGGCCGATGTAAGCGTCTTTGTAGGACATGTAGTATTTTGAACGCCATGCTTCAAACTGCGATTTAATACAGTCGATGGAGTAGAAACTCTCAAGGACATCTTCAAAAATCTTGCTGGACTCTTTGGAAATTCGGTCTAAAAATAGTAACAAAACCCACCAGAGAATAATTTAGCATGAAGAAAAAACACAGTTGAATCTTTGCAGTGTTTTCTTTGGAGCTCAATTATCAGTAACATGGGCTCATTAACGAAGGACAATTGTTAAGCGCAGGTAAGTTTAGGTTTCAGTTTGTCTATTATGCATGCTCAAGTGCAGACAGTCCTCATTTTGTCTGGATTCGACAGGTACAATCTACTGTGACCAGGATTCAGTTAACTAACACCTGTTCTCCAATAACACAATTCAAATTTCAGTTACCACGGCATATTAACGCATAAGGAACAAACCTTGCTGCTAGCTTTTCAGTCTCCAAATCACTGTGTAAGTAAGTGCCGAGCATCATGATCAGAGACCAGCCCTATCGTGCCTTTCCAAGACTACTGGTGACTCTAATAACCGACAGACAAGTAGCAGCTGGATGGATGGTAGGATCCTCAAGTGACAGTTTATTAGGGAATAAAGATTCATACCATGCCCCAGATGACTTGGGAAACCAGAATTGCCTTTAATGGAGAGGTAAAACCCCAGCAACCTTCAATGCAAGACTGATCTTATCAGTAATACTGGAAATGGTTAACATTTTTGTTATGAAACTTTCTCATGAACAGGCTTAACCTAAATCCAATCAAGCATTCAGACCTAAATTTGAATGCACAGGTTCAGTGTTCCTTATATGAAATCCTCAGGGTCAGGGAAATCATCTGTGGCAGTGGTTACAACACCACCTGGGACGCCTGCACCCCACACTGGAGTGCCCGAGTTCAAGTCCCAGCTCTGCTTCCAATTCGTTTCCTGCTAATGCATATCCTGAGAGGCAGCAGACGATGGCTCAAGTACTCTAACTCTGCCTCTCTGCCTTTCAAATAATATGAAAATAAGTAAGTGAATGAAATCTTTGGGACCCAACTCTGGAATATCTATATTTACCAAATTTGCCAAACACAGATATTTTGAAAATCCAAAATCTAAACACTCCAAAACCTGAAACTTTTTAAGCATCATATCAGCACTAAAATGTTTTCAGATTTTGGAACATCAAGATTTCGGGTTTTTCAGACTAATGATACACAATCTGGACAATGAATGGGTGAACAAGTTAAATGAGAAAAATTCACTGACAAATCCAGAATGCAGGAGGCTCTCCAAAACAAGCTGCCTGATCCCTTCAAGAAGTCAATGAGTTACACAAATATTAGGGATGTGTGAAATACGTGGGGGACTTGTGAATACCATTTACCTAGATTAAAAGAAGTTATCAATCTAATGCGGAACCTGTATCTTGCTTTGGTAGATCTCACTTTGGAAAAGACAAAGAAAAACCACAAAATAACTTATAAAATAAACAGTTCCAAAAGAAGATTTTTGGGAGGATATCACTGAGGAAAATTAAATATGGACATGATATTAAGAATTTTTAGCTAATTTTTTAAGGCATTATAATGATTCAATGATCACACACAAAAAAATCAATGCTGTTAGGAAATAGATGCCAAAGTTGTTTAAGGGTGAAATGTCATGATGCCTACATGTCACTTCCAACACACACCCAAGCTAAAAGAAGAAAGAAACTTGGTGAAATGCTAAGCATTCTTCAATCTCGAGGACAGGATATGGGTGATCTCTGTGCTATTCTTTCACATTTTATGTTTAGAAATCATCACAATTTTTAAAAACAGAACAAACAGAAACTTCTCCAACTATGTTCTAAGTGGCTTCTGGCTATTACAATTCTAAATGATTATAGCCAATGGGGGGACTCTTTATTTGGGGTTCCTTCTGGAAATGCCTAGCACATTAACAGCACTGACTAGTCTCAGCTGAAACTCTTCATGACTCCACAAGAGAGTCTCCTTCGGGGCTGAGGGTACCCCTGCCCAGCTCTACCTCTCCAGACCAGACAGCCTGCAGTTGGAGCCGCCTGCATAAATCCACCACATTCCTCAGCCACTTAAAATTCTAAAATTTTGAAGAGTCACATCATTCGCTATGTAAATACTAAATACACCCTGTGCAAAGATGTTACCCATGCTTCTGAGGATTTACCACAATATCAGCAACAAAAATGGATACAAGTTTTTGGTCCTGATGTGGGAGCCACAGAATTTCCTCACGGTAGAAACCACACCATGAGAAACCCAACTGACCAGTCTCACTTGCAAACAGACATCTGACCTTTTTCCAGATTGAAGTTGGTGATGTCTGTAGACGTCTCCTCGTCATCACTGGAAAGGCCTTCGAGGTGATCAGCCATCTTACCGGTTTGCTCTCGGGCTTGTCGACGCCGAGTCCTACATAACAAACGTCAAGTTCCCAAACAATATAAAAGAGATTCTTCCCTCCCCAAACAAAGGGGCAAGCATTTTCAGGATTACCTCCTGGCCTCTCGCTCTGCAATCCGACGTTTGGCATGTTCTTGGTACAGTGCCCGATCACGTCCAAAGGAATCAAGATTTGGGGCCATCAGAGCTTTATCTGTAAAACAACGACAGTTAAAATTAAAAGCCTTTCTTCAGTAATTGTGGGGAAAGAGTTTGCACAGAATAAGCCATAATGATAGACTGCTTGCTAATCCCAACAGGATTCTGCAGTAACTGGTAAAATGGGTAGGTTTTGAGTTTAGAACATATCTCAATGTTCTTCATTCCCATGAAAGAAGTAGAATAATCAAAGAATTGATTTTTTTCAAGACTTTGACAATCCTATACAAATATAACTGGGCTTACTTGCTATTTTTATGCCTAAATAATAGAGCTACTTTATACTATAATGATGACCAAGTAAACTAAAAATCTAAGTTATCTGTGCAAAGGGAAAAGTAATAGGTCCTATTTTTAAGAAAGAAGAACCTAAGCATCAAATGATGAATGATACAAAATGACAGCAAAGAAACACGGTTGGAAGACACAAAAATAGCTTTCATGCAAGAGTTTAATAATTTATTTTGTGGAAATATATTTTCTAGCACTATTTTTAGAACAAAGGAACTCTGTAGACTAAAAACTGTCGCTTAAGCAAGGCTTACACGTTCTCAAACACCACTCCCAAGGCACATTTCCCTTATTTTGTTTCCTCCTACTCTGTTTCTCATTTAAAAACTTTCCAGGTTAATTTTCTAGCTTTAGTTTCCAAAACGTCTATTCAAACTTATGCTTCAGTTACCACACTTGTAGTTTCTAAGCGATGATTCTTGTCCTCACAATATTCTTCTTCCACAGCATCTACACCTGCACTGAGGAAGGCACTGCTACTATCTCCCTGTGAATATCAATTACGTATTCAAGGTGGTTTTGTTTTTTTTTGCCTCCAACATTGCCTGTCTTCTTAGTGCCCTTTGTTCTACTGCTTGTGTTGATCTTTCTGATGATCACGAACTACCTGGTCATGTACAAGAGACTGGACGTACGTTCTGTGCGCAGGGCTGTCTAAAACAGGCCTTTCCGTCAAACCTCTGGGTGGAGACTTAACTATTGCTGGGAACCCTAAGATGTTGACTCCCCAGGTCTTTTGTCCAGATTCATTCTCTTGCGCCAGAAAAGATTTCTCTGAGCCTTGGCCTGGGTTAGGACGGGACCAGCAGGAGAAACATCTACCTGCTACACTTACCTAGTGTCTACATTTCAGTTCCACATCCTGAGACATGTGAAGGTGCTTCAGAAAGGTCATGGAAAAGCACAACTGAGAGGTAACTTGAGTTTGATGCAAATTTTTTCATGTTTTTCATAATATGCATTTTCCATGAGCTTTCTGAAGACCTGCCCTCCCCACAGATGGGACTGTAGAGGTTGAGCATCCCTAAGCTGAAAACTTGAAATGCTCCAAAATTCAAAATTTTCTGATCACCAACGTGACACCACAAAAAAAAAATCCCACAGCTGACTTCATATGATCAATCACAGTCAAAACACGGGCATGTTAAAAATAGTGTAGAAAATGTCATTCAGACTGTGTGTGTAAGGTATGTATGAAACAATGATTTCATGTTCAGCCCTAGGTCTAACACCATATTCAAGAAAAAGCATTTCAAGTAAGGGATACTCAACCTGGAATGGGACAAAAACCCAAAGGGTCAGGGGTGTGGGCGGTGAAACTGCATGCGAGGTGGAAGACAGCCATTTAAGGTTTGTGCGTATTTGTTTTCCCAATTTCAGAGATGTGTCATCAAAATTAGCAACAGAAAAACAAAACCAAAGAGTAACTTTCTACTTCAGTGGATCCCTACTAACCTAGACCCTATTTTAAAAACTCAACTGTCTTTACTGAGGTTTTCATTAGTATGTCGAAACAGCTCTGGTTTTAGGAAGTGCATTCCAGAGTTCACTAATTATAACAGATTACTGTGATAAACAAGAAACACTTCATCTCTACCTCAACTGTGAGTTCATGGCACGCCCTCAATGAACTAATTAAAAAAAATCCCAAACTATAGAAATGACTCCTAACTCTTTAAGAGGTAGTCTTCATTAAAGACATATTTTAAAGAATATTCACTACTCTAGTATTTAAAATATATAAATAATTATATGGTTTATAAAATGCATACTGGGGGAGAAGCATGAATATAGGTGACTCAAGTGACAACCTTCTTAATTTCTGGAACTGTGGATGAATATTTATAAACAGATAAATTTCAGGCTATTCTTTGCTTTTTAAAAAAAAAAAATAAGAAAATGAATTGATTCTTCAGAGTCCCATGTAATTTTCCTCAAGCCTTTGGCACTAACGTATACTAACACCCTCTAGGACAATATTTTTCACTTTCAGATTATCTTTCCAACTTTAAATCTAATTAATATACATCCATCAATCTTACTTTAAATTTCAAAAACAGTCTCAAATCATGTAGAACAGATTCTAGGTGGGAGAAAGTATTTGATGAAATGTTCAACTCACACAACCCACTCAAGAGCAAGTTACTTTCCTTCATAATCATATAATGATTACCTGTAATCTGCCCCAGAAATGTGGTTCTGCCTGCATCAAAAGTGATCTGGGGCCGGCGCCGCAGCTCACTAGGCTAATCCTCCGCCCAGCGGCGCCGGCACACTGGGTTCTGTCGGGGCGCCGGATTCTGTCCCGGTTGCCCCTCTTCCAGGCCAGCTCTCTGCTGTGGCCAGGGAGTGCAGTGGAGGATGGCCCAGGTGCTTGGGCCCTGCACCCCATGGGAGACCAGGAAAAGCACCTGGCTCCTGGCTCCTGCCATCGGATCAGCGGGGTGCACCGGCCGCAGCGCGCCGGCCGCGGCGGCCATTGGAGGGTGAACCAACGGCACCCTCTCTCACTGTCCACTCTGCCTGTTTAAAAAAAAAAAAAAAAAAAGTGATCTGGGAGGGATGCACTGGTCATTGACGTGCCAATGTCAATCATGAAATGTAAACTTGGGTGGCAAAAATTAGAAGGTCAAAGCCATCTCGAAGGCTCACAGCTGAGTCTGACTCAGCTCTGAGGGTCCTGCTACTCTCTCAAAGCCTCTCTAAACCCACCAAACACACAGAACGCTTTCTCAGGAAACCAATGTCTTTCTGACTTGGAAGACAGTGTATAGCAAAACAGTGCTTTCTGAAATAACATGAGGGCCCTTGACACTTAAATCAGCTGAAGTGGACATGTAAGACCTAGTAAGAATCTCTAGAGATCGGAAGAGGGAATCTGCATTTTTACGAACATCTGGGTAGCACATTTCTATTTGAGAACTGCTGACATGGGGAACAAAAGGACGATGAAAGAAACCACAAAGAATTCACAGTAGAAAAATCCGTATCAGAGCACCATGAATATGGAGGGCAATGGGGAAAAAAAAGAAATTAAAAGGCTTAATATATCTGGTTAAGGAATCTTAGCTATACTATTTAAAAAGGTTTCCGATTAATTTTAGTTTTCCATAATATACCTCATAATGAGAGGGATATACATTCTATTTCCATATTTTTACAAAATTCCAAGAATTGTAAGCATCAACTAAATTACAAAAAAAAAAAAAAAAAAAATCCAGTATATAAGGTAAACTAGAGAAAGGAATATATAAAATGAGATTACAAAAAATTTGCCTATCCAGAAGGTGAAACTCAAAATTCCCAAAGTTATGCAATACAGTTACCCCCCACAACACACCCAAAATGTCCAAATCCCTACACTCAAAATCTTTCACTGTGATCAACAACAAGACTGTATCAGTATCATGAGCATGATGAAAACAGAAAAAGAGAATTAATTAGGGGCAGAGAGTGGTTTTCAGATAAAATACTAATACTGTCTTCTCTATAAAGGAGAATGAAAATCATGCCCAAAGAAGAAGACTGACAGAATATTAGTGCATGTTTCCAAGCTCTCTTGTGAAGCTGAATTTTCTGAAACACAATTCAAGTACATGCTGTTACGACCTTTAGATCTACCTGACACAAGAGCATTTTTAAAAAATGCTCTGAGATGTCTAATTTTAATTAGGCTGCACTAAGTAAACAAGGTTGTTTAATGAATAATAAAAACCTTCAAGATGGACTGACTTGAATGGCTTGAAAACTCCGAGGATTCATCTTTAATATCATCTTGTCGTCTTTGGACAAGGCGGGAAGCTCGCTGTTTGTACAGCTGATGTATTGCTGATTCAAGTTCATTAATCAGTGGCACCTGTGAAAATACAACAAACTCCGTAACACCCAACTCCTCAGCGGCTTACTTATTTGCGGGTTCCATACTACTTCCGGATTTCTGAAAAAGTACCCTCTCTACGGACAGAACCACCATGAATCCCCAACAGGACTCGGGCAGCAATTCAGTTTTACGATGTTTAGAAAACATCACTTCTTCTTTTAATCCACAGAGCTATCATGTCCAGTGCCTAAGTTAACGGAGTAAAAGTTTGGTTAAGAAATGGAACACTTCAATATTAACAGAGAGCGCAATGTCAAAAACTTCAGTGCTTTTTTCAATAAAACATTTAAGTACTTAGAGATCTTCTTAATGTCCATTTTCAATTTTCCCACAGCATGAACTGCACTGCGATTTTTATAACTTAAAGCAAACTATTATCACTGTGTAATACCAAAAAAGAAATATGCAATGGTTCTATGAGTAGTTAAGAAAAAGACTAATTGCCTAATTTTGAACATTTAAATTGCCCTGCCACTCAAATATACCAAGTACTTTATATACTATTTTAGGACACCTTTAAAAACTGAGTGATTAATGAAATTCCTAGCTACTACTAATCTGTCAAAAATCAATATCTCAAACTTATAAAGCTCTTCTTTTCCTACCAAGTGTTCAAATTTTTCCATAATCTGTAATAAAATTATCTACATAAATTCTTAGCTTACAAAATCAGTGATTTTTTTCTTTCTAGGTTAATACCCCTCTCTAAAACATTTACTTGATCCATACAGAAAACTAAAGTTTATATAAGACATGAGACCTAACTTAAACAAAAACAGAAAACTTTCTCTATATAAATACTTTGTTATAAACAAAGCGCTACGAAACTTTCACAAAACACTAATATGACCACTACACACACCTGAGGAAACCAGAAATTCTAGTTTCCTGATGGTTAGTGCAAATGGAAAACACATTATTTAGAGTTTGGGAACACTGGCACCAAGTGTTAGAGCAGCTTCCTGAACAGACTGTAAATGGAAAATTAAAAAAAAAAAAAAAAAGGCAGGTGGAATACAAAGGTGTCTATAATAAAAACAATCTTATATACTTGCACTATTCCATTGCAAAAGTAGCAAATGTTCACAAAAGTCAAACTGGAGGAGTCATCTATTTTGTTTTTTTTTTTTATAAGCCACACCGTAGGCAACAATGTCCCCAAATCTGCAGTCCTTGCTAGCCGAGTCCAGACACTCGGTCGATAAAATTTACTAAAATCGCCGGCGCCGTGGCTCAATAGGCTAATCCTCCACCTTGCGGCGCCGGCACACCGGGTTCTAGTCCCGGTCGGGGCGCCGGATTCTGTCCCGGTTGCCCCTCTTCCAGGCCAGCTCTCTGCTATGGCCAGGGAGTGCAGTGGAGGATGGCCCAGGTGCTTGGGCCCTGCACCCCATGGGAGACCAGGAAAAGCACCTGGATCCTGGCTCCTGCCATCGGATCAGCGCGGTGCACCGGCTGCAGCGGCGGCCATTGGAGGGTGAACCAACGGCAAAGGAAGACCTTTCTCTCTCTGTCTCTCTCTCTCACTGTCCACTCTGCCTGTAAAAAAAAAAAAAAAAAAAAAAAAAAAAAAAAAAATTTACTAAAATCAGTTGTTTTCCCTTCCTTTTCTTTTCTAGCAATCACTGCTACGTCATTATGACTTACACTTCCCCACTCACCCATTTTAAAAAGCCATTCAAGACTAAAGACAAAAGTACCTAAAATCATCTTTTAAGTCCTGGAGATGAACATCTCTCTACTAGCATCATTTAGGGTTTAGTTATCCAATTTACAGCCAAGATGACAATGTAATTTCTCTCTTTGGGTGACCGAAATGTCTTTTAACAAAGCCTAGAGAAAAAGTTCTGAGATTAAAGCCCTAAAGCACATTTCTGGCTCTCACTGAAGTTTCTTAACAATGTTGATCTATTTCAAAGAGTCTGCACCATAACAATTTCCTTACCCTTTCCAAACTCAAAAAGTGTTATTATTTTAGCACCAAATTTAAGGCAAAAAACATAGAAGAACAATGACCACAGGGAAAGAAAACAATGGAAAGTTAAAATGATTTACAAGTAATTTAAAATATAAGTTCAAAAGCCACACAAATTCTTGTAAGAAAAGAGGAAAAAACCAAGTATCTTTTTATGGTCTTACCCTGAAACACAGTATTTTATTGTATAATGGAACTGAATATTTGAATCTATCCAGTTGTTTGTAGTATTTCCAAGATGATAGCTTATTATCAACTCGGTAGCACTCTCTTAATAAGACTGAATGCTTATGAAGATGTCAGAATGAAACAAAGTGTTCATCCTTAAAAAACGGTTCATCTACCTCTCTTTTTATTAAAATGCAGTCACTGTATAATACATAAGGTCCAAGATCTGCTCCCAAAACAGACTAAGTCTGTACAACCTGCATAACCACATCAGCACAGTCTAAGCAGCCTTTCTCTAGGAACAAGGTCATGAAAGAGAGATGAAGTGCACTAACGATTCAGCAACTGAAAACTGTCTCAACCATTCTCCTACCAACTTCTTTACTTTAAACATAATATGACCTAGCTGATCAAATTACTATGAAAACTTTTAGAGTTAAGTGTGCTTCTAATTATGAGTGCCTAAATTTACTCAAGTAAGTTCTAAAACAAAGACCAAGATACAGAAGGTGCTCCCCGGGGACAAACCTCACTTACAAAGTATGGCTTATGACAAAGATCCTTTCTCCAGCTTCTAGGTTATGAGACCAGCTTCCACTTTGCCCGTCAAGCTCAGAAAGGGTGGTTCTCAGCAGGACAACGTGAATGACAGCTCTGCCATTCGGGCCCCACCTCCAACCTTGACCCCAGCCCCAGACTCTTCCCAGTCCTGTACTTGTCCCTCTGCTCAACTGCTCTGCCAGGAGGGACACTGCAATTCACACGGCAGGTACTTCTCCAGAAACTGAGGGACAAGGACAAAGCATGATAAATGCCCAGGGAGGACACAGGGAATGCTCGTGTCCTGGATCTGTCCACAGGCCGAACGGAACCAGCAACACCTACTGCAGAGACACTGTCTGCCGGCGCTTTCCTTGCCAGTCTTTGGTGTTAGGGTACTGAGTGATCAACAGATACAAAACGCCACCATACTCATTTAACCACACCAGATGCCTACAGATTCTACGCTAACTCCAGCCCAAAGTTGAGGTGCAGGATATTTAATGACCATTTTACTGTTTAGTAAAGACAAAGCTGTAAAGTCTCCAAATGCTTATGGCCATCAAATGTGCCATCCTTAAGATCAACAGCCAGTTAGGTTACCTGAGTCAGCTGTGCACAGCTCATTTCTAAAAAATGTAAAAACATATGGTACAAAATAGAATGCAAAAATGGGTGCCGATTAATTCTTATACTAAAAAATAAATAATTAAAAGACCTTGGAAGAAATTTAAAAAATTATGTCCAATGAATGGTTTTTAAAATGAATGAAGCATTTAGATGAAAACTAATGAAATGGCAACCAACTACTACCCAGTGTAAAAAAAGAAAAATGGGTAAAACTTTCTAACTATATGCAGTTAGTTATTTGTAGGGACAGCTTAACAATAAGCTTAAACCTGAACCCCAAAAAAGAAAATTCCAAGAGAGGGTCCTTAAATTCTAATAATTCAGCACAGGCCAATAATCTACCATTAATCGAGACAAGACTTGCCAAAGTCTTATTTAAATGTGTTTTGGTGTATCATTTTTTCTTTTTGACAAAGGCACGATATTACTCCCCCTACACCCAGAGATACTGCCACTAATGAAGTGAAGAAAACGAAGCAAGACTTTTTCATCACTTCCAAAGCTGCAATCAGTAGACAGCTTCTAAGAGTTACAGAATGTTCTATACAAGGCCGTCTAGATCTCTGTCATTTTGCCTTATTCAAAGAGATTAATATTTTTGCATTCTTACCTTTTCACTGAAACACTCAAGCAAGTCTTGGACATACCCTCGCATTTCTTGCAAAAATTTATACCGTTCACCAATACCCCCAGAAGACCCTTCTAATCTTTCAATAGCCCTGGTAGAGTCCACTCGGCTTTGCAGGTGTTTCTCATGCTGCTGTCGATTTGTTTTGTGCAATTCTTTCATGGAGTCCAACCTTAAGAACACAAAAGCATAAATATAACACATTTACATCCAAAAGTCTACGTCGTCAGGACTCTTGCAATATTACAATAACGCATTAGAACATAAAAATATCTGGAATGGCATCTTTTCATCGGAACTGCTTTTTTCCTCAGAAAATGGCAGTTTACAGACTTCATATAGTTACTCGGTGGGCTTATCAAAATCTGTTTTTCTCTTCCCCCCATATCTTGACTACACTTTTTCAGAGTCCAAGAGGTACAAACTCAGAACTGTCTTCAACAAGATCATGGAGTGGCATTTTTTTTTTTAACTTTGCGAGGCTTCCACAGAAGTAATCCAAGAAGGTAGCAGAACAAAGTGTGAAGTCTTCTGTTTAGCTTTGGAGGATGGGCCCGGGAATCTTCTTTGCCGACATTCTGCGTCTGCTACCCCAGACTACACGTTGCCTGAGGGAACGGAAAGCTACAGGTCTTTAAGAAGTTGATCTGCCCTACCTGTCTTTAAGCTGTTTCTTTACCAAATCAATAGTAACGGGAGTCATCTCATTACTGGGAGTTTTGAAAGGGACTGTATTATCTGATTTTTGAGATTTGGCATCCGACGATCCATAGGCCGTGTAACTATAAGGAATGCCATAGGATGAGCCATAAGGCATTGTCTGGTAAGTGTTCTGGTAGTACACATTCACTTCTGTGGGCTGACTTGCTTGAACCTAGAAAAGAAATGGGATATATATGAAAACTGGAAGCTAAAACTGTGAAAATGTTCAAATGCAAACAACTAACAGCAAAAACTATAAGCATTTCCCAAACAGTATGTAGTTAAATTGCAGAATTCTTCAAAATCAAGTTAAAGTAAGATTGATGGAATCTGCAATTACTTCTAGTAATTCGGAGGAAACAGATTTCAGTAAGTTTAGACTTAGAAGTGACATTAAAAATAATCCAAAACAACCATTTTATCTGTGGGAGGACAGACGACTCGGCCATGGTCACAGAGTAAACGGGCACGCAGAGACTACAATCTTCCACTCCTGATAGACCACCACAATTCCACTATTTTCTCTTTTGTTTTAAAAAATTTCTTAATTTATAAAGGGAACAAATCTCATGTATTTCATACACAGTTTCAAGAACATAGTGACACTTTCCATCCTACCCTCCTTCCTTCTTTTCTCCTTCCTTTCTTTTCCTTTTGATTTTTCCAGTGACGGACTTTCAATTTACTTTATAATCACAAGCTTAACCTTCCACTAAATAAAGAATTCAGCAAGTAGAAAAACACTGTTCCTCAGGACTACAGACAAGGGCTGTATTTTCTTAACACCACCCGCATGCAAGCAAACTGCCTCAGAACACTATTAACCAAAATACCTTCTATTTATCAACTTTTTCCACTGTAGATAAGCAGTACTTAACTTCTATAAAATAACTGAAATAACTCTTTGCGAAGACATTTTTCATCTACCTCAGTAAGTTTTTACATTACTGAGAAATCCATCTTCTTCAAAAGAATTTTTAAGGTCAGAAAAGATAAGCCACGCAGGAAAGCAGCATTCGTCTGAAGGCAGGGTCTGCCAGTTTTAGGGGGCGTTACAGTCGGCTGGAGGGCTTGGTGAGCCGAGGTTGCTGGTCCCCTCCCAGAGTCTGCGACTGCACATCTCAGGAAAGTATATGATAATTTACATTTCTAAGGAGCTCCTAGTTGACGCTGATGCTGTTGGTTAAAGGGCCATTCTGAGTAACACTGACCTAAGAAACTGTAAATTCTCCCATCATTCTAAGGAACAAAGCACACACAGTTTCTTCTGGAAGCCTATTGGATCTATGCCTCATGTGGTTTCCTTGATTTCATCACACTGAAAACATTCAATGTGGTGTGCTTTCACTTTAACAAAATAGACAAAAAGGGGCTTTTTCTTCTGATTTTCAGTAGTAAGGTTTAGTTCTTCAGGTCTTACCTGAGGGATATTAATTCCTTTTCTTATCTGCTCCTGTTCCCATCGGCTGAGCTCTTCGTCTTGTTCTCCAGTTACTAGAGCGTCATCATCACTCCCCTCAATACCTGCAACCACGAGCAACCACGGCAAGTAAGAGACACAAAGCAGGGAGGGAAAAGATGCTATCCTGGTATTGCACAAGAACTGGGCAAAAGTATTATTATTAATGCAATGCTACTAAAATCGCTATTACAATCTCCTCTCAGCTGACCCTGCTGACTGTGCCTGTCTTACAAACAGTATCCCTTGAAACCTCAGGAAGTATTGCGATGGTTAAACGCTCGGAGAGGTTTCTTAAATTCCCTAAGCTTGGCACCAGCTCAGCATGGAGAACAAAAACTAGGGTCTCCCAAGAATACTGAGAGGGTTACAGACATTTACGCTTGCCAGTCCTCAAGCGTTCAATACATATTAGCTATCACAATCACGCTAATTCTCAAAAAAATTCCAAGACACCTGTACTCAAGCGAGAATAGTCCTCCAACAAAACAGCTAGACGAATGCTTTCATTTGACTGTAATATCAAATCACACTTAGTCACATCGCTTACTGTCCAACTAAATCAAGTTACCTATTTCCTCAGCGATTTTTTGTCTCTGTGACTTTTCCTTCACGGAAAAAACTATACGGCGCTTCTCATCGTCATCTTCGTCGTCGCTGGCATCATTCTCGTCTTCCCGAACAAGGCGGCCTTTGCCAGGCTCGTTTTCATGGGGCGTGAAATCCCCCAACTCCCGGGCCATCTGACGCTTCTTCCTCGCAGCATGTATAAAAGCTGCATCTGGAATTTCTCCTGGGGAAAAATGGTAAGAATTATAACATACGGCAGTCTCAAGGGCACAAAGTTTCTATTTCCTTGAAAACATGAAGAGAATGTAATTCTTTTCATGGAATTCAGAAGATTTTTTTTTTTTTAAAGATCTATTTATTTATTTGAGAGGCAAAGTTACAGACACATAGAGGCAGAGACAAAGAAAGAGGTCTTCCATCCACTGGTTCATTTCCAAAATGGCCACAATAGCTGGAGCTGGGCCGACCCAAAGCCAGGAACCAGGAGCTTCCTCTGGATCTCCCACATGGGTGCAGGGGCCCAGGCATTTGGGCCATCTTCCATTGCTTTCCCAGACGCATTAGCAAGGAGCTAGATTGGAAGTGGAGCAGCTGGGATTCAAACTGGCATCCATAAGGGATGTCGGTGCTGCAGGCGAAGGCATTAAACTACTATGCCACAGCGCTGGGCCCTGTCACAGTCATGTTTTAACAGAAATTATTTGCACCCTCTTCCCAAACTGTGTCTGCAATCCAACTGCTTTATTTTTAATTACACTTAAATAGAAACAAAGTCACTAAGGAAACTGAGAAAACTATTTAATGGCAACATATAAGGAAAAGAATGTGATTTTTTAGGGAAAGGAAGAAAACCATCAAAGCAGTTTCTCATTTTTTAGGCAATAAAAGTAATGAAACTATATTACTAAATTGGAAAACATAAAAATTATAACCACAATTGCATGACCCTAAAAATGCACTATTTTATGTATATTACATTCCTCTTGAAAATAATATTTTAGTTTACCTGTAAGCATATGAAATATCATTTTGTGCTTAGTTGCTCTTCATATTAAACCATAATCATAATACTTTTTTCCATGTTTTCCTATATAAACATAACTTTCAAAGGCTTAACAACATTCCCTAGATAAAGCAAAATCTACTACACAATCCAATTAATTGGCCTTTGCCCACAACAAAAATCACTGCCCTGCTATTTGTCTGTCATGTTTTTTAAAGATTTATTTATTTATTTGAAAGGCAGAGCTACAGAGAGGCAGAGGTAGAGAGTGAGAGAGGTCTTCTGTCCATTGGTTCACTCCGCAATGGCTACAAGGGCCAGAGCTGGGCCGATCCGAAGCCAGGAGCTTCTTCTGAGTCTCCCATGCAGGTGCAGGGGCCCAAACACTTAGGCCATCTTCTACTGCTTTCCCAGGCCATAGCAGGGAGCTGGATCGGAAGTGAAGCAGCCAGGACTCAGACCAGCACCCACGTGGGATGCTGGCACTGCAGGTGGTGGCTTTACCTGCTACACCACAGCGCCAGCCCCTTTGTCTGTCATTTTAATAGCTACATTAATTGCTCCTCCAGTAAATATACTGTAAAATTACTATGGTTTTCTCCTCCTGCTAGACATTTTTTCCAAATTTTGTCCCTTGCAATAATGTTGCAATAAAAATATTTTTTCCTCGGGATAAATTCTAGAAATGGAATCACAGGATCCAGGGTAAGAACATTTTTCCAAACAGCTTCCCAGAAGGACTGTATCAATTAGGCTGCCACTAGTGATGCATGAATACAATTTATAACACCTTCCCTAGTACAGAGTAGTTTTTAATTTTTATAAAGATTAACAGGAGTCACAATAATACCTCTTTATCATTTAAATTTGCTATTAAGCACTTAAAAAGCTAAGTAGCCAGGGAACAGATTTGAAAACTATTTCTATGGAAAGTACAGACATACATTAAAAACAATACTTTAAGACTATCTGTCCACTTACCCGAAGTCTCACCTGCTTTGATGACAAAACTGCCATTGGGGGAAAGCATGGGAAGGTTGGAAAACTTCTAGCTCTCGCAGTGGAAACAACCCTGCTTCAAACAGAGATGGCCTAAGAAACACCACCTGGCTACTGCCTGCCTCCATCACTTCCCTGAACCACAGCCCCCTGTCGAGGGTTTAGCTCCCTTCTGACAGCTGCAAGTACGCACCTGGCCGGAGAACGTTCAGAGAAGACAGCGCGTTTGAGAAAGCACCCCCAGCCTTTGGTTTTTCTTCCTCCTTCTCACTTTCCATATCCATTTCATCTTCACCAGGTTCACCGATGATAACTCCATCTTCCTGACTCGTGTCCTTAACATGCCCCGTTTTGTCCAATGGTTGTTCACCTAAATTTTTGAGTAGTGATTAAAATAAAATCCATAAATTAAGAAGGTACTTTTTATTCCTGTACGGTATCAATCCACTAAAGCTTGAATCATTTTCATTGTTCGCAAAAAACTCAAAACATTGATGCATGGAATACAAAACAGCACAGGAAACATAATCAGGTAAAAATTACACAGAGGACAGAGAGATACATTCAAGGCCCTACTCAAGTTAATTTTATCAAACTTCAGCAACTTATCAGAATTGTTTCTTCCTCTAAACTGCCACAGGTACCTGCATGCACTTTAAAAAAAATGTTCAGCTCTTAACTGACCATAAAAACTGTACAGAATTCTGGAATAACAATGTCCAATCAGGGGAAATATCTCTGTCTCCTCACAGACACAACATTTCTTCACAGTGAAAACATTCAAAATATGCTTATACTTCTTTTAAACACTGTTTCATTTTGTGTGTATTTCATTAAATACTAGGCCCACTCAAGGCAGCTCAAGTTTAAGAACAAAGCACACTTATGGACCAGGTGAGTCTGTGTAATGGACACTTCCTGAAACGCGGGCTAGTGTCTTAGCTCATAACCACTGTCACCATCATCCAAGAGGAAAGACCCTGATAGCTACATTTAACCTGCGCAAGCCTGATCCCCTTCCCAAAACTCAGTGTTTAAGAGTGGAATCCTGGGGTCAGCACTGTGGTGCAGCGGGTTAAAGCCCCCGCCTGCAGTGACAGCATCCCATATGGGTGCCGGCTTTGCGTCCTGGCTACTTCACTTCCAATACAGCTTTCTGCTATGGCCTGGGAAAGCAGAAGAAGATGGCCCAACTCCTTGGGCCCCTGCAACCACGTGGAAGACCCAGAAGTTGTTCCTGGCTTCAGATCAGCTCATCTCTGGCCGTTGCGGTCATTTGAGCAGTGAACCAGTGGATGGAAGACCTCTTTTTTTCTGGCTCTACCTCTCTATAACTCTTTCAAATAAATAAATCTTAAAAAAAAAAAAAAAAGAGTGGAATCCAGGGGCCAGCGCTGTGGTGTAGTGGGGTAAGCCTCTGCCTGTGGCACCAGCATCCTATATGGGCACAGGTTTGAGTCCTGGCTGCTGCACTTCTTATCCAGTTCCTTGCTAAAGGGTCTGGGAAAGCAGCAGAAAACAGCCCAAGTGCTTGGGCTCGTGCACCCATGTGGGGAGGCCTGGAAGAAGCTCCTGACTCCCAGCTTCAGATCTACCAGCTCCAGACACTGCAGCTGTTTGGGGGAGTGAACAAGTGAACGGAAAACCCTCTCTGTCTCTAACTCTGCCTCTCAGATAAATAAATAAATAAATCTTAAAAAAAAAAAAAAAGAGTGGACTCTAACTGAAGCAGAGATAACCAGACTCTCTAGTGATCTGGAATTGAGACGGAGACAAGTTAGAGGCTGTGTGGCACTAAGAACAACCACATGTAAACCAGGAAGGAGCCTAGGCAGTGCCCACGTTCTGCCCTGTGGACAGAGAAGTCTTCAATTCCCAGCTCTAGTCCGCTCCTGAGGCTGCTTCAAGACTGCTTTCCTGCTGCCCGGGTCCAGGAGCAGCACGACGTCTTAAAGAAAAACTGTGTTGGTTTACACTACATTTCAGTTTGCTCTCTGTCCCAGAATCCACAACCCCTCCAAAAATTTTGAGAAAATCGGAAGTGTTATTACTTGGAAGCACTAAACTTGATAATACTCCCAATAGGCACAATGGACATGGTGAAGGAGGAAAGCAAACATTTATTCTAAATAGAGAAGATGCTCCTCTACTGTGCTCCTAGCACGTTCCCCTCCCAAAATACTGCTTCAGAAGTTCTCCCCCACCTTTTTGTTTTTGGTTTTATTTATTTATTTCAGAGGCAGAGTTACAGACAGAGAGGGAGAGGGAGAGGGAGAAAGGTCTTCTATCTACTGGTTCATTCCCCCAATGGCAGGTGCTGGGCCCATCTGAAGCCAGGAGCCAGGAGCTTCCTCTGGGTCTCCCACGTGGGTGCAGGGGCCCAAGCACTTGGGTCATCTTCCACTGCCTTCCCAGGCCACAGGAGAGAGCTGGATCAGAAGAAACAGCCAGCACATGAACTGGCGCCCACATGGGATGCTGGCACGGGAGGCGGAGACTTAACCTACTATGTTACAGTGCCAGCCCCAAGCTCTTCCTTTTTAAGCCCCGTATCCTACTCCCTTAAACTAACAGTTCCAGAGATAAAAGTTTAGGACTTTCTAGTTTAGTCTTTAATTTTTTTAACGCACCATTTTCTCTCATTAGCCACAGATTTCCTTATAAAGTGCATTCTGAAGATCTAAGATCTTAAAACTCACTTTATTGGTGTAGGGTTAGATGGAATTACAAATACCTGTTTCCTTCTGCTCTAAATCTACACAAAATCAATGATGTTTAATAGACTAAAAACAGAATGCTAAATCAGATATGTACAAATAACGAATGATTTCCGGCAGACTCTAAGAGATTCAATGTTTCCTTGAGTTCACACACTATTTATTTGCGCCTGAGCAAATGCAAAGCCAAAGCATGGTGATGGCTGAATGTCCGCTAGTACTCACATGCTACCTGTCCAGATATCTCTACAGAGACGCTAAATAACCTTGCACAAGCAGCCACTTTGTCTTCGATTTCATCACACCTTCAGGAAACTTGCTCTCACAACTTACCCCACCGACCTTAAGCTGGGCAGGCTCCCTCGCCTCTGCAGTCTCCACTCTCTCCCAAACTTCTCAAAGAAACAGTGTGAACCTGCTGCCTTCTCCTTCCTCACCAACTTTTTTTCCTTTAAGATTTATTTATTATTTGAAGGGGAAAGTCACACACACACACACAGATCTTACATCCCCTGGTTCACTGCCCAAATGGCCACAACATCCAGGGCTGGGCCAGGCCGCAGCCAGGAGCCTGGGACTCCAGCAGGGTCTCCCGCATGGGTGGTGGGGGCCCAAGCAGCTGGGCCATCCCATGCCGCCCTCCCAGGCGCATCAGCAGGGAGTTGGATGGAAAATAGAGCAGCTGGGACTTGAACTGGCGCTCACATGGGATGCTGGCACCGCAGTCAGCAGCTTGACTCCAGTGCCACAACACGGGCCCTGTCACCAGCGTTCCCATCGCAGTTACTACAAATGACCTTTGATTTTTCCCATTCTAAGCACAGCAGCTAACCCAATGGCTTGTGGCCAGAGCTAATCCAGATACTCTGCTGCTCTGAGCAATTTAGCGAAAGGTGCTCCTTCTTCCCCAAAGCCCTGTGGTGCACAGTCTGCTGACAGGCCTGTTCCCCGTCACGCGCTCTCCTCCCAGGAGAAACCTGGCAACCCAGCCGACAGCCCCGCCCTGGTCCCCACTTTTCCTGCCTCTCTGGTACCACTTCACACAGCCGATCACAGTTTTGGAAGCTTTCCTTTCTTTGACGTTTCTAACTCTTTTTATCTCTTTAGTGACTCTTCTCCTATTCCTTCTGTGGGCTAAGTGCAGGGTCGAAGTCTCTGGTTCTAAGTGCTATCTCCTTTATACCACTCCATCCATTACATCCGCTTTTAAGTACATTTCTAAGACGTGGATCTAAATCTGCATTTCCAACTGTTCACTGGCTGTTTTCACTCAAATTCAAGTTAAGGAATGAATTCATCATTTTAGGAATGTCACACAGTGGCTGGTTCTAGCCAATCTGCTCATGGTTTGAAGCCTCTATGTCTCTGCCTGAGGAGAGTTAGAGGAAGGAAGGTTTCTGGATTTTGAATTGGGTAATGAAACTGCTTCACAGCACCGAGTAGAAATGATGACAACAACAACAGGCCTTTTCAATTGTCAATTTTCATCACTTCTCTACACTATCTCATCCTACATAAATAGTTTTATCTATTTATTTGAGAGGCAGAGTTACAGAGAGAGGGACAAGCAGAGAAAGGTCTTCCATCCACTGGTTCACTCCCCAAGCGGGTGCAGGGGCCCAAGCACTTAGGCCATTTTCTGTTGCTTTCCCAGGCCATAAGGAGAGAGCTGGGTGGGAAGAGGAGCAGCCGGGACTTGAACCAGCACCCACATAGGGTGCAGGCACCACAGGCAGAGGCTTACCCTACTACACCACAGTGCCCGCTCCAAGAATTTTTTTTTTTTTTTTTTTTTGACAGGCAGAGTGGACAGTGAGAGAGAGAGACAGAGAGAGAAAGGTCTTCCTTTGCCGTTGGATCACCCTCCAATGGCCGCCGCTGCAACCGGCGCACCGCGCTGATCCGATGGCAGGAGCCAGGATCCAGGTGCTTTTCCTGGTCTCCCATGGGGTGCAGGGCCCAAGCACCTGGGCCATCCTCCACTGCACTCCCTGGCCATAGCAGAGAGCTGGCCTGGAAGAGGGGCAACCGGGACAGAATCCGGCGCCCCAACCGGGACTAGAACCCGGTGTGCCGGCGCCGCAAGGTGGAGGATTAGCCTATTGAGCCACGGCGCCGGCTGTCCAAGAATTTTTTTTAAAAGACTTCAGTTCATCATCCACTGCTTTTCCCAGGCCACTAGCAGGGAGCTGGACTGGAAGTGGAGCAGCCTGGACTCGAACCAGCACCTGTATGGGATGCACTGGCCCCACAAGTGGTTTTCAAAAATTCTGAGACAAATGAGGCAGTGTTCTAGACTCTGAGATAAATTCCCCCAAAAATATTATTTCTCCTACTTGCCTTCCTTATCTCTACATCCAACACATAATTATTTTCAGTCATCTGCCAAAAAAGCTCAAATTTTGACTTAAATAAATATCCACTAGCAAAACCACTCATCAAGCCTATCAATTCCTCTCTTGGAATGTTTTCTCTTTCTTTCCATTTCTTCTCCCACACCAACAAATATTTTTGGCCCATCCACAATCTCCTCCTGAATCAGGAAAAGTCTCAGATGTATCTAAGCTGGTTGAGTTTAAACAGCTTCAGGCCTCCAACTACGCTGCACCTTAACACCAGGTGAAGGTTCCAAACACATCTGTCATGGCCTCTTGGGCAAGCCAGGAGCAGCGACTGCAACCCCTCACTGCATTCGACACCCTGTGCAGCCTGTCCGCAACGTGTCTTTCATGCTAAGCTTCTTAACCACTTCCTTCAGCAATCACCCACTTTGGCCTGGTCTCCTTTACGCCCCCTTCCCCAAAAACAATTCTGGTCATTCTGATCCTGGATGGCAGCCCCCACACCTTCATGCTTGTGTTCCAGAACCTTATCGAGGACCCCACTTCAAGCACCACTTTCTCTATCAAGTGCTCTTCCCTCCTCGGAAGGAGCCCGAGCTCACACTTGCGTGATGCCGCCTCCACGGGACTGCAGATTTGCAACGAGGCCATGCTCCCTCACATCAAACCTGCAGGCGAGACTCCGGAAGACACCAACTCTATCTTTAATTCCATAAAATAGTTTTCCCTAAATTATTTGTATAAGAATAATTCAGAGAACTGGCGCTGTGGTGCAGCAGGTTAGAGCCCCGGCCTGTAGTGCTGGCATCCCATATGGGCAGTGGTTCGAGTCCTGACTGCTCCACTTTCAATCCAGCTCTCTGCTATGGCCTGGGAAAGCAGTGGAGGATGGCCCAAGTGCTTGGGCCCCTGCACCCGTGTGGGAGACCTGGAGGAAGCTCCTGGCTCTGGATTGGCACAGCTCCAGCCGTTGGGGTCAACTGGGGAGTGAAACAGCGGATAGAAGACCTCTCTCTGTCTCTCCTTCTATGTGTAACTATGACATTCAAATAAATAAATAAATCTTAAAAAAAAAAAAACAAGAACAGAATTATGTGATGAATTGGACATACAGTTTAAAAGAAGGTCAAGAAAAGAAGCTTTGTCTAATACGCTCATGTAAATATGTGTCTATTAAAAATATTCTGTTAAAAAAAAAAAAAAAGAGTAACTCAGACCATGGCATTTCATAATGGATTCACTTTCCTAAAGACAAAACCACTGCTTAGGAGATGCCTGTCGAGGCTCCTGCCTCATCCTGAGGAGTCTCTGTCCATTCAGACTGGGCTGCTAGGGGGTGGGGTTGCCAACAACGACCTCCGGGCTTTCCTAAGAATTCTTTGGGAATTAAACAAAGGTGCAAATACCACCAAACCAACCTAAGCGTTTCTCTATGAAATCCAAGTGCAGGAATTTGCGCGGCACGCCTTCAAAGAGGAATCAGCGGTGTCTAGTGGCGAAATGAGAAACCTCTGCTCAACGAGAGTGTGGAGCCTGGTAGGGGAACCGGGGCAGGTTTAGACTCAGCCATGCCACGGGAGCGCAAACATTCCAGAGGCACCATTCTCTAAAACGGCTCACAAAGAACTGTCTCAGAACTGACCAGGGAACTGTGCCCGACCCGGCGTGAACCTGAGTTCACCGTAAACCCAGGAGATCACCAAGAAAAAGCTCTCATTTCTGCCACAAGAATCCCAGGCTGGTACTTACCGTCGGCTGATGAGTTGAGTTCGGTCTTAATCTTCGACTTTTCAAGATCTTCTTTATATTCTTTTTTGAGCAACTTTACTATTTTTTTGCTGTAACTTGATTTCTTCACTTTGAAAACTTCTTCATTTTCTTAAAAAAAGAAATTAAATGAAGTCTGTAGTGACCACTCTCGGAACATGTTTTCCCTTTCTCCACATGATCCTATGTGCTGTTCAGCCCAAATCTTCCAAATATACGCTCAAACTCCAAAATCGTTACATAGCCGGGAGCCTTTGTCAAGTCTGCCACAGACCCACAGAAACAGGTCAACTTCCTAAGTCAACCTAAGGTAAGGTCTGGAGACCTAAAAGCATAACACACGTCACTTCACAAAATTTTCCCGGGTCCTGTAGCTGTCCTTAAACCGTCTGTTTTAGGAAGGGAAAACAACTCCTTCAAAATGTTTCCAAAAGGAACAGACCACAAAGTCATTAAGGGATCTGAAACAAAGTATCTGAAACCAACCCAGCCACTCCGGCTGCATCAGACACGGCTCCTTCAAAGCCCGGCTGAGCCCGACTCACTTTTTCAATCAATTCTGGTGCTGCCCCCACCACCTTCTCTGAGCGGAAATTTTAAAAAACCAAGAACAAAACACCACCAAGCGGCCCGTACATCCAAAAAGAAAATGCAAACAAAATAACAACAACAACAACAAAAGAGCCTACCCTACTCCAAACACGGGAGCATCTGGAACCCAGCGGACAGAGACTTAAAATTTTCTTCTTCGTGAACATGGACTGAATCGGGTTAAATGCACTTTAGTGGTCCGGAAGTAAAAAGACTGCAGCCTCATCCTTAAGGTCCGAAAGCTACAGCCCGGCCGCTAGCCCGGCGTCGGTGCACCTGCCAGCCCCGCGCCGACTCGGCCCGGAACCACAGCGGCCAGCTCCGGACCTCGGCTCCCAGACCGAGGACGCCTCGTTGCGAAAGCGGCCTGGCCGCTCGCCCGGCATCGGTGCACCTGCCTCCCTTCCCTGTCACATCGGCTCCCCTGCACGCTGACACCTGCGACCCCCGCCGACTCGGCCCGGAACCACAGCGGCCAGCTCCGGACCGCGGCTCCCAGACCGAGAACGCCTCGTTACGAACGCGGCCTGGCCGCTCGCCCTGCATCGGTGCACCTGCCTCCTTTCCCTGTCACATCGGCTCCCCTGCACGCTGACACCTGCGACCCCCGCCGACTCGGCCCGGAACCACAGCGGCCAGCTCCGGACCGCGGCTCCCAGACCGAGAACGCCTCGTTACGAACGCGGCCTGCGCGGGCACGGGGACGTGCCCAGGGCTCGCTGCGCGGGCCAGGAGGACACGGGGTGGGGGTCCCTCACCCCCAAACACACAGCGGCCAAGAGGCCGGGCCGCTCGATCGTCCCCCTGACCAGCCCGGCATCGCACACATCTGGGCCCCGGGGCGCAAGCAAGGCCCGGGCCAGCGCGGGAACGCGTCCTCGGCCCTTGCAGCAGGCCGGAGGCGAGCGGGCAGGGGCTGCGCCCCGAGAAAACGAGGATGCGGGCTGGGGGGCCGGGGCGCGGCGTTACCTTCCTCCTCGTCCTGGAAGCTCAGCAGACTGGCCCGGGCCACCTCTTTGTTCTCGCGAGGCCTCTTGCGCGGCTTCAGCCCGTTGCCAGGCTCCGCACCGCCAGGGAAGCCGCCGCCAGCCTCAGCCCCGGGGCCCGGGGCCAGCGCAGGCGGCGGCGGCGGCCCGGGGCCCAGCAGCGACTCCCCCCCGGGGACTCTGTCGCCGCCGCCGCCGCCGGGGCCCGGCTCTTCGCCGGTGCCCGGGGGCGGCAGCAGCGGCGGCGGCTCCTGCTCCTCATCCCGCTCCCGCTCCTCTTCCTCCGAGTCGTTCCGCTTGCGCACGTTCACCCGCCGGGCCTTTCGGAACATCCCCGCAGCCCTCCTCGGCGGTCACACACCCGCTCCCGCACGGCGGCCCAGGCGGAGCCAAGCTCGCGACGGCGCACGCGCAGAACCCACGACGCCGGCCTTCTCTCCGGCTTCGGCGCCCCCAGCGAGCGCGCAGGCGCATGCGCGCCCCGGCCACGCCCCCCTCGCCTTTTCTTACGGAGGGAGCGCGCACGGCGACGCTCGCGGACACAAAAGGAACCACGTCAGGTCGCTTCACTGCCCTCTGTCGGCGTGGAAGGCTATTGGCAAGGAATTCTGGGGGACTCCGGGGTGGTTCGACGGGTCACAAAGAGGATCATAGAGATCAGAGGGTAGAGGGGCCTCCGCCTCCAGGTCTCAGACGTGCGTCCTCGGCGCCCACCGGGAGAGGTCACGTGCGGCAAGCCTCCCGCCAAGCGCTGGGCCGGGCGGATAGAGCGGAGGGGCGGGGAGCCGCGGGCAGAAGGTGGGCTGGGGACCCTACGCAGTGATACTTGGTCTCTCTACTGCCGTCCACCTGCAGAGCGCGTTCAGAGACCTTGGACATGCCAGGTGCTGGCTCAGCCCTTGTCGAGGGCCGGTGACTCCCGGAAGCAACACCGACCCGGGTGGGAATGGGGGTGACCGCCGTGAGGTTTGCGCCACAGCACGGCCAGAGCCCCCTCGGCAGCTGCCTGGGAGGTGCACCTGTGCGTGGGCGTTCAGACGGTGTAGCGGGGAGAGGCCACGTGCGCGTGGAAGCCTCGGGGCTCCCCGTCTCTCGGGACCCGCCGGGGACGTGGTACGAGAGGCAGAGGAGAGCTCTTCCATCCCCTGGTTCACTCCCCCAAGTGCCCACGGCAGTCAGGGCGGCAGGGTCGGGAGCCAGGAACTCCGCCCAGGTCTCCGCGCTGTGCGCCTCTAGGAACCCAAGTACGGAACCATGGCCTGTGTTCCAGGCGCGTTAGCTGACAGCTGGGTAAGAAGCGGAAAGGGGAAGCGGGGCCCAAACCAGGCATTTTGTAAAAAATATTTATTTGAGAGGTAGAGTTTTAGACAAGAGGGAAAAAGGTCTTCCCTCCGCTGGTTCACTCCCCAAATGACCGTAAGGCTGGAGCTGAGCTGAGCTGAAGCCACGAGCCAGGAGTTTATTCTCGGTTTCCACGCAGGTGCAGGGGCTCAAGCACTTGGGCCATCTTCCACTGCTTTCCCAGGCCATAGCAGAGAGCTGGATCGGAAGAGGAGCAGCCAGGACTCCAGCCAGCGCCCATATGGGATGCCGGTGTGCTGGTGGAGGCTTAGCCCACAACGCGACAGCGCTGGCCCCAAACCAGGCATTTTGGTACTGGGATTCGAGCATCCCAAATGGTGGTTTAACCCAGCTGTGCCATAACACCTGCCCTGCACGGGTAGTTTACGTTAGTTCTCCTTTTTATACAGATGGTGTGAAAACAGCGCATTCCTAGCCTAGCATAGCTTGGAGGCTGGAGATGGGGCCAGCCTCTCTGTGCGTAGACCATTGCCTTGTTCTTTTACCCAGCTGCGGAGTCACCGATTATGGCATTGTGCTGTGGTGTAATTTAAACAATCCCATAAAAATTGGTGTTTAGGTTGTTTCCAGTCTTGCTGTTGCCAGGGCTCAGAAAACAATACCATAAAACATGGCACTTTGACATGCCGAGGGAAACCAAAATCTCTCTGACTTGCTGCTCTCCTGCCTCTCACCCCTTTTTCTGTCCCAAAACCCAGGGAAGAGCTTGCTCTGATGTCCTCTTATCTGCCCAAGGATAGATCCTCCAGTGGCCGGTGCTGTGGCATAACAGGTAAAGCTGCCACCTGCTATGCTGGCATATCCCATATGGGTGCGAGTTCAGGTCCCAGCTGCTCTGTTTCCCATGCAGCTCCCTGCTAATGCACCTGGGAAAGCAGCAGAAAATGGCCCAAGTCCTTGGGGGCCCTGCACCCGTGTGGGAGACTGGGAAGAAGCTCCTGACTTCGACCTGGCCCTGTCCAGGCTGTTGCAGCCATTTGGGGAGTGAACTGGCAAGTGGAAGATCTCTCTCCCTCTCCATAACTCTGCCTTTCAAATGAAATAACTCAGAAAACAGACCACTGTTCCATGTAAGAATGCTTAGGTTCCAGTCCCAGCTTCCTACCACTGTCGACCCTGGGAAGCAGCAAGTAGTTGGGTCCCTGCCGCCTGTGTGAGAGAATGGATTGAGTTCCTGTCTCCTGGCTTCAGCCTGGTCCAACCCTGGCCATTGTGGGTGTCTATGGAGTGAACCAGCAGATGAGAACTTACTCTCTGTATGTGTGTGTATGCCTCTCAAATAATAATAAACCTCACTGGGATCTAAATTCTAAATTGAAGCAGAAAGTCCCAAGCTGTCCAGGAAATTCTATTTTATCCGCCTCTGCCTCTTGTCTGTGTGTCTTCTTTTGGATTTGAGATCCATCCACTGGGACCCAGCTTCAGGGCTGAGAACACCTTCCAACATCTTCCTCCAGTTAGCAGAAGAGTTAACATTTGCCTTCCGTTATACTCACATTGTTCTCGGTTCTTAAATTCTGGCCACATAGCACTGGATGAAGTCGTGATTCCAGTAGAATGTTCCATCGGTGCAATTGATCTCCCATCTCCAATCACAGAAGATTCAAATCGTGCCTGGTCAGCCTCCAGACAGCTGAGCCGGGAAGATCTGTAGTGAGGTGATCAGGGTAAAGAAGTGACAGAAACAAGGGCAGAAGCAGAGACTGCTAATAGGTTGGCCTAAACCTTCAAAAACATCTCCTATAAAAGTGACTGGACAGGCCAGCACTGTGGCTTACTAGGCTAATCCGCTGCCTTGCGGCGCCAGCACACCAGGTTCTAGTCCCGGTCAGGGCGCCAGATTCTGTCCCAGTTGCCCCTCTTCCAGGCCAGCTCTCTGCTATGCCCCGGGAGTGCAGTGGAGGATGGCCCAAGTCCTTGGGCCCTGCACCCCATGGGAGACCAGGAGAAGCACCTGGCTCCTGCTTTCGGATCAGCGCAGCGCGCCGGCCACGGTGGCCATTGGAGGGTGAACCAACAGCAAAAGGAAGACCTGGCCGGCGCCGCAGCTCACTAGGCTAATCCTCTGCCTAGCGGCGCTGGCACACTGGGTTCTAGTCCCGGTCGGGGCGTCGGATTCTGTCCCAGCTGCCCGTCTTCCAGGCCAGCTCTCTGCTATGCCCCGGGAGTGCAGTGGAGGATGGCCCAAGTCCTTGGGCCCTGCACCCCATGGGAGACCAGGAGAAGCACCTGGCTCCTGCTTTCGGATCAGCGCAGCGCGCCGGCCACGGTGGCCATTGGAGGGTGAACCAACAGCAAAAGGAAGACCTGGCCGGCGCCGCAGCTCACTAGGCTAATCCTCTGCCTAGCGGCGCTGGCACACCGGGTTCTAGTCCCGGTCGGGGCGTCGGATTCTGTCCCAGCTGCCCGTCTTCCAGGCCAGCTCTCTGCTGTGGCCAGGGAGTGCAGTGGAGGATGGCCCAGGTGCTTGGGCCCTGCACCCCATGGGAGACCAGGAAAAGCACCTGGCTCCTGGCTCCTGGCTCCTGGCTCCTGCCATCGGATCAGCGGGGTGCGCCGGCCGCAGCGCGCTGGCCGCGGCGGCCATTGGAGGGTGAACCAACGGCAAAAGGAAGACCTTTCTCTCTGTCTCTCTCTCTCACTGTCCACTCTGCCTGTCATAAAAAAAAGTGGACAGAGGGAGGGACACTTGTCATATAAGAGTGAACAAGAGGCGGACAGGGCCGGTGAGGGCGCTCGTGTCCCGTTTCAGAGTAACTAGGTTCCCTCCGAATCAGCTGCTGGTTCCAGCTCCCTAGGGGCAGTGATGCCTCCGGTGGTTGGGTTCCTGCCACCCATGGGAGATCTAGATTGAGTTCCTGGCTCCCAACTCCAGTCCCAGTTGTTGCAGGAATCTGGGGCCTGAAATAGCAGATGGGAGCACTCGCTTGCTCTCTCCTTCTCTCTCCCCCCACAGCTCTGCTCTCAAATAAATAATGAAAGTGAACCAAAACATTGGAAGACAACAAATGTATTTATTACTTTGCTGGTTTACCTATCCAGGTAATAAAAAGGCAACATTAAACATAAACAAGTTATTACCTTAAAGCCCAAGCAAACCAAAGAGTTATAGACCTTGTGGAAATGAGATTCCTGAAACGGAACAGCTGCTCCAGTTGCCTGTCAGGCAGTTTATAACCAGAAATAAATTGATAAAGTTCTTCAATGCTTTGAATAGCAAGCTGGTTTGTTTATTAATATAGCATACCGTAATCTTTTACTATGGAGGGCCATTAGTATTCTGGGCGAAGACTGCTTACATGAAACCGTTGCACTGGACTTTTTCCTTGAATCAGTAAGCTCATCCTTTTCCAAAAGTCATCTTTCCAGTCAATAATTCCTATTAGTTTTTTTTCTCATCAAAATGCAACCTTCCATGTGTTAATTGACTCACAAATTCAGACAAAATAGGCAAACAAACTTGGTTTGCCAACTCAGTCTTAGATCTTGTAACCTGGAACGGTGGTTACCAAATGCGTTCTCCAAACCCATGAAAAGTTTTCCTGGGTCAAGAGCCAAATGGGAAGAGAAAGGACAGCCTGTCAGATGGAGAAGCCGGATGGCCTTTCTTAGAAAATGGTCCTTTGCTCCGAGATTGTCTGTCTTTCTCTTTCATGTTAAGAAGAGAAAACCTCTTGTAATTCTTGTAAATATTAATACTCTAGAGCAGTATGTTTGAGTTCATGTGTTTACCTGGCAAACCAGAAAGCAGTGAAAGCCACGAGTCCTCCCAATTTTGTCTTTTAAAATGTTAAATTGACAGGTGAAATCTAATAGTCCAGGAATTCCTGATCTAGAAATTCTTTTTTTTTCTTCCAAAACTGTAACTCTGGGCATGATCTCAGTGTACCTGTATTTGTTATAACTAACTGACATAGATGAGGTTTTTCTTTTTAATTTATCTATTTGAAAGGCAGAGTTAGAGAGAGCT